GGTCAATCGATGATAACATGAAACGTAAGTGTCCAGATAGACGTGGCGCTGCGCCTGATCGCGGGTGTCAACACACGGTCAGGTCTTAACCCCAATCATTTCAAGCACGTGAGGCATACGCACCGCAGTCGGCAGCAGTCCAGAACATGCAAACAATGCCAACATATCACAGAACGCATCAGGCAGAAAGGGCATCATAATTGACAAGTCAATGATCTTCGATTCATTGCTAGGCATCCGTATGTCTAACCTGCATCTTGATCTTCACTTGTAGTTTCATGACGCGTTCCAGCCATGCCAGTCGTGCAACTGTTAAGGTAGAACCCGCACTCTTCTGTGTCTTCCTGCCTAAGCCTGACTCCTGAAACAATAAGAACCAATCCAAGCACGTTGGAGCGAACCTTTCGTTGGTATCGTGTGTGTAATTTCAAGCCCTTGTGATCGTACTGTTCCTCGGCATTAGCTTAAGTTTGGCCAGAAGTAAAGAAGGGTTGGAAACTGACCTGTTCACGAAACCGACAATGGGCTTCTCGTTCTTCTTGACTTTAGAGGAGCTTGGAATCCTCGGTTTCTTCGTCGCTCTTCTCCTCCTCGATATCGTCCTCCTTCTTGGCGACGAAAGTGCCAGCCTCGGAAAGACGGAACAGGGGAGGGGGGGCTTCATTCATGACGTGAGCACCATGACCGTCTCCATGACGGGGCACAGACATGGGGGTATGAAAAACAGCGCCCTGGGTCTTGATGCTGGAAGCCGGGGTGTAGAACTCATCGTCGCTCATCTCGGCAAGCTGAGCAGAAAGACTGGCGATTCTCTGCTCGAGCTGGTGATTCTTGCGAACCAGCTTGCCGTTGTGCTGGGTCAGATACTTGGCCAGTTTCTCGGTGACCTCGAGCTTCTTCTTGAGGTCGCTGACGAGCTTGAGGGCTTCGTCGAGCTTCTTGTTCTTCTCGCGCATCTCCTTCTGGCTCTCCAGGTTCTCGATATGCTTCTCGAGCTCGACGCGGATGGCGCGATGAGTCTCCAGCTGGTCCTGCAGACGAGTGACAGTGACCATGGCCTTGTCCAGGAGGACCTTGCCGGCCTCGCAGGAGAGCTCGGAGGCAACAAGGAGCTCCTGCATGACGCGGCTTGACTCGCGAAGCTGGTTGATCTCAAGCTGGAAAGCCTGGAGCTCGCGGATACGGTCGGGGTTGTAGTCACGCATCTTTGCTGCTGGTGATAGTACTGATGGTAGAGGGAAGGAAAATTGATAGAAGGTCTTGAGGGGAGCGAAGCCGGGTTGCTTGATTGTCCTTTGGAAAAGCCTTTTCCGGGTGTTGTTGTGTGTGCGGAGGTAGGGTTGCCGAAAACCTCCCGGGTCCTGTCAGTTTTGGGTCCACCTCGGGGCCGGGTCCGCCGGGGCAGGTGCTTCTAATGCCGGGCTCCAGTCTCCACTCACACGTGGCAGCCTAGCAGCACCATGACCGCAGAATTCCGCAGCTTTCCGTGGAGCGCAGGGGCTACTAGGTCTGCCTATGAAGATGGACTTTTGTTCGTATTTAATGGTCATGGCAAAGGCTGCTATCGTGCGTGTGTTTTTCTTTCATTTCGGCAGCGCTGATGCATATCAGTGCATGAGTATCTCAAATCCGACAAGCTGAAAATAACACGGCAGCACAGTCACGAGTTTCTCATATAATAGGTTGTTAAGATGGGTGTGTGACACGACGAACAAGTTCTAATCCATTGATTCTTTCGTTCACTGGATGTAGGAAACCTGTTCATCTGGCGGTTAGCGTGTTCCCCAAAGCGACGTTATCTATGGTTCAATGGTGCCTTTTGTTCTGCAATCTATAATGTTCTGTGGCAGAAGCTGATGTCTGGCACTTCTCTGATTTAACTTTCTGAATTGCAACCACATTTTAATTCTTGTTGTCGTGTTCAAGTAGTGTATCCTGATAACAATGCTAAGTAAGTAGAGGCTCAGGCGAGGGAATTTCATATTTGCAACCAGAACTCAGAATGTGTCAGAAACAGCTTGAGCAATTGGTGACATTGGTTCCGGAGCTCTGGAGGATTAATATGAGGAATCGTGTATATATCAAGCTGATCATCGGTGGCAACGAGGAGAACCTAAGCAGCACAATTAGACCGCGCATCAACAAGTTCTGAGAAGAGGGTTGTCCACGAGCTCTCAGACGTCAAAAGATGATTTAAAGCATCGTTTGGTTGCGAGAAATGTTGGGAAGCTCTATCTATGGAAAGCATGGATATCCAGAAGTGCCAGGCTACGGGAGTTCGCCCGCATCCTGTCTCTAAGAATACGAGTCCGCTGTTAAGTTGGGATAGGATCCTCTAACCGCATCATAATTAGGTGCTCGTATAACACTCCGGGCCCGGATTTCCGAATCACCACAAAGGAATCACATATTTGAGTCGTCCTCAAGATTATATTGCTGTCAACAGCTTGTGGCTGACCCTACAGCATCGTCTTGCCAGCTTCTGTGATTCGGGAGAGCATCATCTTGAGTTCCGTATTTGTGACGGAACAAATGCACCAACCAAAGGCTTTCCAATGTGCCTATCGACCCCTCGCGATGCTCCCGTAAGTGCCGTAATTACAGCATCATGCCTCCCACGATGACGAGCCCAGCCATCATACCGACTGCTGCCATATCTGCGCCCACGCGCAGCCCACCGTTTCTGATGAAGTCGTATCCTTCGAGGGCGTATTTCTCGCTCTGAACTTCGGCCAATTTCTCGCCTTCGGCTCCTACGAGCTGGGCGCTAAAATAATGCTCCTCGCCGGGCACGAGAAGGTTGCCGTTGGGGATCAGGCCGTCGACGATACTTCGCGGGTTCCAGGTATATGACGTAGATGAGAGCGATAGATTGCTCCGGATTTCCCAGCTAGCTTTGCCACCTCCACCACTAAACACCGCATAGAACCAGAGGTTGAATGCACGGGCTAGGGGCTCGGAAATTGACGAGTCGAGGGTCCAAGTGATCTCGACGGGCTGGGTGAGGTTGATTTTCTGGCTCGGGTCGGGGCCGGTGAACTCAAAGGCTTGAGCGGTGAGAAAGATCCCCGCGACGAGAAGCGCGATGGCGGTACGCATCCTGTTATTGGTGTGCGGACGGCTGAGGAATATATACGTGGCGTCGAGATGTGGGAGAGGTGGCGCAGGGTACAACAATGGAGATAGGTAGGGAGAGATCGTGAAGATCGGTTCGATTAAGTACTGCCTACCTCGGTCCCTACCTATATACTACCTTAATTATCTGACATTTGCGGCCTTGGCTCCCATTCGAAGACGTCCCTGGCCCTGCGGCACAGTCGGTCTCCTCTATTGGTCAATACACGGCGGAATTTGGAGAGCGCCTTGGCATACAGCGAAGCAAAGCTGTGCGAGGTGGTATTTCCAATTTTGAATGTCTTTCGTCCTACGTAACGGCTGATGGTCGCAGTGATCCTACGTCGCTCAAAATAGTAGGTGTTTAAGCTGAATCAGGCACAGCTTTCAACTCCCGCCCCCGCCTGAGGCCACCAACACTGGTGTACTCTTCGGCTTTTACATGCTCAGGCACGCTTCATTTTTTCTATTTCTACCGAACCTCGGTGTGTATTGTGCATCCACTCGATGTAGAAATACATCTAGAACCTCTGTCCTCGCTTATCAACGATGTGGGCCGGCGTCCTCAACCATGGCCCTCATTTGTTTCTGTTGCCAGGGGGCAGCGTCAAACCACAGGCCTTTGACGCCCAACTGGTCCACAGCTGTCGCATGACGTAGCATGACTCCTATCAGGGGTCAAACTGCATGGGAAAGGGAAATGTGAACGGTTGGTGCACCTGGGGCGAAATGTCATCCAGACTCGCTTGTGGGCAATACACCAAGTCCCGGTCAAGCGAAAAACGTGGGCTTTCTGGTACACCAGGAAAGGAACATGCATCTCGTGAGACCCGCATTTACTGATCGCAGAGCGTAGCAAAGGAGCGATGAGAGTTTTTAAACAAGATTTTGGGATTGCCAAATGATGTTTGGCAAGAGCTCAATTGCTGATGCAAGCAAAACATGACATCCCAGAACACTCTGAAGCCAGGCAGTCAAATCGTGCTAGCCCACGACCTCCGCTGTTAGCATTGCCACCGATAGGCCTGACTCCTCATTTCATTCGTCCGTCTTGAATGAGAGTTTATTAGATGACTGCCACCCCCCACAATCTCTGGTCAAGCCTCGTGCATTGTCCTCGGCGCCTGGCAACCGTCGCAAATCTGCCTTGATGAGATGCAAGATATTCGATTCAACGTAAAATCAGCAACCGTGCTTGACCGCAACGATTGTTGTGCCAGGGATTAACAGGCTGGCAGACGCTGGGTTGCGTCTGCTGAATATAGATGAGAGACGCTCTTCAGAGAGTTGGAGAACCCGGTTCATGTTCAAGTGATGTGTCTGGCAAGGTCGCCATACCCTGCTAGTAGGAGTATTTACCAGGCTACATGTACGGTTGGAGCTAACATGTGAAGTTGCCAAACGGGGAGCCCAAAACACAGAAGCGTTTGGACCTAACATAGCAACATGCATTTGATGGCGGCTTGCAGCGTTCCGATGGTGACTGGCTTCACACGATTGGCAGCACTCACTTACCTTCTAGTGCTAGCTTCTTCACGGTCGTGGGTGCACACATGGGATAACATCACGCCTCTGTTGGCAAAGTGGCGGCTTCATGCACCAACACTCTGCCATACAAACCTCAGCCGCAGCTTAACATTGCCTAGACAGCCAACAACCAACGGAGGTGTTTGTACATCTGCGGGAGGACCGCCGATACTTAGCCTCGGGTCATAGGCCACCTTCTCTTATGGCCATGCTTTATAAGGCTTGAGTTTCGTCAAGTTTGATCCAGCAAAGGGCTCAACCACTTTGACACCTTCTAATTGATACCCAGGCTCGACTAGTCAAGACATTGCCGTCCGCACCTACCGATCACGTTTTTCCGATCACGTTCGTTCCTCATCATGAGTGAGGCGTCTCAGGATAAGCCTGATGGTGAAGCTTCCTGGTCAGACAGTCGGGGTTGGAACAAAGCTTCCGGCATCATCGTGCCGTACTTGATCGAAAGGGTGCCTGAGTTCCATAGCCTGACCGATCTGCGGCAAAGAGTTGGTCCTTCACCAGCTCCAGGACATCTGAGGTTTGATAGCGCTGACAAGCCATCAGGGGTGGAACAATCCCGAAGGCGACAAGTTTTTTCAACTTCAACGCCAGAGAGCAGATCAGTCCAGCGAGAAAACAGCCAGGTACTTTTACCAGTTGATGTTAAGGATCGGTCGGGAGATTCAAGCTGCTACTGGGGCTTTCAGCATTGTCAACCCCGCTTCTCAACAGCCAGAGATTCTTGACATGTGCATGGCACCCGGAGGCTTTCTGCAGACAGCACTGAGCTTCAACCCGGGGTCCAAGGCTCTAGGCTTCAGCCTTCCAATATCGCATGGCGGGCACAAGATTCTGCTTCCCCGTCGTGCTGATGTTGACTTGAGATTCCTCGATGTCACAATGCTCGCTGCCGATATGGGTTCCCCAAACATACCCGTCGACCACATCGACGCCGAGAAGTTCCTTCCTCGACAGATCGATACGAGTCGTGTATTCGACCTCGTTCTCTGCGATGGCCAAGTCCTCCGAACACACGATCGTGCTCCATATCGAGAGAAGAGAGAGGCTCGCAGGCTAACCACCGTGCAGCTTGCGCTGGGCCTTGAACATCTGAGATCGGGTGGGACCATGATCGTACTCCTCCACAAACTCGAAGCTTGGGATACACTGTGCCTTGTTCGGCTGTTCACAAGGTTCGCCTCGATCAAGTTGTTCAAGCCTATACCTGGCCACGCCAAACGTTCGTCCTTCTACATGGTCGCCAGCTGTGTGCAAAGCCAACAGCCTGAGGCTCTTGCAGCAATTTCGAAATGGAAGAATATTTGGAACGCTGCTACTTTTGCCCCTGACGAGAAGTATTGGGAAGAAATCCGCAAGGGAGAGGAGCCTGTCTCGGACGTGCTCGAAGAATTCGGGCCAGAGCTCATCAAGCTGGGAAGAAAGGTTTGGGATGTGCAGGCTAAGGCACTTGCCCAGGCCCCATTTATCAAGCAGGAGGGAAACCAGTGAAAGGTTTCGCAGCCCCAGACCAGACCAGAGTATTTCCGCACGCATTGATTTCTAGAAAAACCGGTTCTCTTTTCGCACTTGTTGTAAATTATTTGAGTATGCTTGTCCTCCCGTTCGGTGTGTCGTAGGGTGCTCTATTCGGCACAGATTCCCAAGAGCCAAGTCGTCTCAGCCGAACTACAGTGTGTTGTCAGGACCGTGCCATGAACAACCGTGAAGATGATGGCCAGTCAGAGCAGCGTGTTCACACTGCGATATTACGAGCTCTTACTACTTAAAGCTCGAGCCACAAGCCGACGTATTTACAGGTACCCTCCAGCCATGATTTGGTAGGCCATAGCGCCATCGGTCAACCAGTAACCTGCGCTCAATGATCGCTCGTCCCCGTCGTGTGTTATCGGTAGTCTTAGTGGCGGCTTCGGGAAGTTCTCTAGGCTTCGAAACTGATTTATAGCCTCCTCGCCATCCAGTGCCCTCCATTTTGATTTCCAAGTTCTTTGATTGTCAGGCGCCTCGAGAGGGTGGGAGTTGCTGCATGGCGTCACCGTACACGCGCGGTAAGTGGGATAGGGCACCTCCACCCTCATGTCGCGCAGCTGTGCGTGCATGGCGCGGTAGAAGTCGTCCATCATGGGCAGGGCTGGGCCACCGATGATCATGTCTCCTTGGCAGCCGACGAATATGGATATGCATAGGCTCCGTAATTGGTGACATTGCTGAGCAATGTTATCGAGTATGGGCTTGATTTTATTGAAGTCGTGTCTCAATATGCCATCTTCCCCTAGTGTCCACTCCGGTTCCACCGTTATCTCGAGCGATACAATAGATGCAAGGCGCTCCGAGGGCATAAGTTTGGGTAGGTGAAGGAGGAGCGGCTTGCTTCGAATGCAGATCACGTTGGAGGAGTACAGGATATGTATACCTTCAGTATAGCTAGGTGCAATCAGTGCGGATGCCGTGGCCAGGCAGTTGATTGCTCAGATAGAAAAACCTACGCTTGTCTGCAGGACAGTAAGAATCCCATGATGTCAATTTTCTCCGCATCAAACGGCAGCTGTTTGCCTTCGTAGATGCGCGTCATGCACCCATCGTTCCAGAGCCCGGTCCAACTGAAACGTAAGACGGGTCCGGTCTCTGGCAATATCCAGTTTGGTCGATTGCAAACGGCGCCCCTGTATTGCCATACCTTCTGCCGAGATATCGATGTCTGGCCAGCTTTCATCAACTTCGGGGAGGGTGAGATGTCAAAAATGAGGTCCATGTGAAGAACTCGCCCGCCAAAGGCCGTCGTGAGAATCATGTGTCGACAATCATCGGGTACCTTGGTGAAGAAAAGACATTGCGAAGGCTGCCTTTGGATACCGACTCCGTTGGTGTTGGGCGATTCGAATCCTGCTGGCGTGAGGGGTCTGCGCGGTGTTGGAAGGAACGGCGGGTTTCCTGCTGATTGCTTATTGGAAACCGGCCCTTTGCCAAGATGCTTTTTAATCCATGCGATGAGCCTCGCCATGTCCGAAGGCCACGGACAGAGGCTGCCGGAGCAAGTCGCTGAGAGTCTATCGAGGTAACTAGAGGTGACTAGGGGAATCTGGAGAACAGGGCACTCGCGCAGATACATATGCGCATGTCAACGGCACTGAAGTCACCTGTTGCACAGCCCCCTGCTGTTCTTGGCGGTTTCTTTGGTACCGCTGCGGCGGCTTTCGCGCTGATTGCGTCCAGCCGAGATGATCGCCCCAATGGACAGCCTCTCGCTTGTCTAATGCCCCAGAGTGCTTTGATGGCGCCAGACATCTGTCCAGGGACAAGTTTCTTAAAGCTGCTTGTTGGCTGGCGTCCCACAGGGTTGTTCACCTGAGAGCTCTAGCCGTCGTTGCTTTTGGCCGCAAGAAGTTTGCGCGATTGATGACGAATTAATCTCAATTTGTGACTTCAATTACACGACACCATTCGCGGCCGACTAGCTTTTGCCCTGAGCCAACGTTTATACGACGACAAACCGCTACGAGTGCTTCTGCCTTTACGCACGGCTGTCGCCCACCTCCCGTCATGGCACACACGGGCATGATTAAGAAACAGATGCAGCCTACTATGCGCGAGACGATCCGAGCAAACAACACGGCGTCCGCACAGATTATCACTAAGCACCATTATGCCGAAGCAAAAGTCGCAATAGGAACTTCTTCCTCCTACTGTAAACACGGTCGACAGCGGCTGGATATCGTTTGGGTGACACGCATGAGCGGCATGTAGAGGTAGACCAAGACCTTAACGAGACGCCGCAAGGGGTTGCATGCGACGCTGAACGAGCATTTATGTGGTCATAGGTTTTCTTGTTACTACCATTTGAGCTTGCCATGTGCAGTGAGCGATACTAAGAAAGCTGAGCTGAATAGGCTTTGGTCAATGGCGGATCGAGGCTTGGTGAATGAATTGAATGAAAGGACAGCGATCCCCTCCACTTAAGCTTGGTTGAAACGATGAGACATGCTGGCCTAGGTAAGGGAGGGATGGCATGCCCCTGACCAAGGCAGACCCTTGGGAGCTCGGAGCCGGAGTGGGCTGGAAGAAGGTGGATGCACGGGCAGTCAAAAGGGTGGTTATAAGTCATTCCAAGAAGCCGCAGCTACCTTATCGAATCCAGGTCGGGCTAAGATGTGCCATGGATGGCCGATGTCTGGGGATCCTTGGTGCATGCGTGGGTGCTCGGTATGATGACAGGAGTACGCTTGGGTTTCCTGCGGCGCAATGGACGCTTTGGCACTGATAATCTCGCAAGCGACGCGGGGCGGCTGTGTCGCTTCATGGCGGGAGATTGCATGGTGTCCGAGACTGCCGCAACCCAGGACCTAGACCGATTGCCACAAGATGCCAAATGATCAAATCGAATTTATTAAGGTTCGCAGTTACGGGTCAATGGCAGGTCACCATAAATCAAACTTTCGCTCCTGGCCATCGCTGGTTGACAACCCCCATGCCTCACGCGCAGCTTTCCGGGATGCATGTCGACTCATTACATGGTACACGGGGAGGCCACCGCGCATCCGCCTGGGCAAGAGCCGGCATGCCCCGGAGAAGGTATCGCAAGCACACGAGCATATTGGGAGAAATCCGCCGATGAAACCCAATGACGGGACTCACAAGACTCGCGCAACAAAATGAAGCGAGTCAGAACACATTCGAAAGCCTTCAAAAAGACGTCGCACCACCACCGCATCTCCTTGTGGTTGCCAGGGCGCATCATCCTTACCTCCTCCAACTTCGTGTTCGGAGTTCCAGGCAGCAGGTCATCAAGGCGGCAAATATGAGGTTCTCTCGGGCCATTCTAGGCTTATGGGCCATCGCAGCGGCAGCTCACACAGAGGAAAGCCCTCCGTCTCATCCACGGAGATACCGCAGAGATGAGGTGTCTGGGCCCCAGCCCGAGAAGAGCGGGGGTGGTGTTGTGGGCAACGGCCACTATATCGTCGAGTTTGACGCCGTAAGTGTACTGCATTGTGTGGACGCAAGATCTGTCTGTTGACGGCCCTTCAGAAAACCGACGTTTCGGCCGCGGTCAATGCCCTGGGCAAGGAAGACGGCATCGACGTCGTCAAGGTGTTTGACAACGGCCTTTTCCGAGGCTGCACCATCAAGGCACCGAAGAGCACGGTCGACTCGATCCAAGACAAGGCCGTCGTGGCCAAAGCCTGGCAGTCCCGCAGGCTGACGCTCGGCGAGCCCCTGGTCCAGCGCCTGGGCGGCGAGCCTCAGCTTAGCAACTACTCCGTCCACGACATGACAGGCGTCGACAAGCTCCACAAAGCCAACATCAAGGGCAAGGGCGCCATCGTCGGCGTCATTGATAGCGGGATCAACTACCGGCACAAGGCAGTGAGTGACACGACGGAGAGAAGCCCACCTGTTAAACACCTGCTAACGGGGCGGCTTAGCTCGGCGGAGGCTTCGGCAAAGGCTTCAAAGTCGTCGGTGGCCATGATTTCGCAGGCCAGACGACATGGCCGAAGGCAGGCGAGGTCAAGATTCCAGACGAGGACCCCGATGACGCGAACGGCCATGGCACTCATGTCGCGGGTATCATTGCAGGACAGAGCGAGTTCTTCACAGGTGTAGCGCCTGAAGCCTCTCTCTACGCGTACAAAGTGCTTTCACCAAGCCTGAGCACCGACGACGAAACGCTGATCGAGGCTATGCTGAGAGCATATGATGACGGTGTAGACATCATTAGCATCTCGATTGGCTCTATGAACGGTTGGGCTGACAACCCTTGGGCTCTCGTGGCCGATAGGATTGTTGAGCAAGGCGTCCTGGTCATTATTGCGGCGGGAAACAATGGCGGGCCGGGAGCTTTCGCCGCCGACAGTGGCAGCGCAGGCGTCAATGTCGTATCGGTCGCCTCCACCGAGCCAGATGTCATCCCCTTGCTCAATTTCAAATCGACGTTGACGCTGCCCGGGCGTGCGTCTGAGGAAAGGTGGATTCCCTACAGATCCCATTTCGACTGGTATCCGGCGAAGGTCAAGGGCTGGCCCGTCTGGCCCGTCTCTCTCGATGCCCTCGACGACGAGGCATGCGCACCCTTGCCGGCCGATACGCCGGACCTGTCCGAGGTCGTTGTGCTTGTCCGACGCGGCACCTGCGATTTCACGACCAAGCAGGCCTTTCTGAAGGAGCACAACGCGACACACATAATCGTCTACACCAACGAGAGACCATTGGTTCAGCCTGGAGTGCAGGAGTCAAACCCCAACATGGCCATGATACCCGCCGAAGACGGCAAAGCGGTTATTGACGTTCTCAAGGCGGGCGGCAAGGTCACATTTGACTTTGACGTCCGTCCTGACCTGCACACCACGTCGATTTCTAACGCCATCCGCCCGGGCCTTGCAAGTACCTTCACAAGCGTCGGGCCAGGCAACGACCTGGCTCTGAAGTCAGACATCTCAGCCCCAGGAAGCACTATTCTGTCGACATATCTCGGCGACGGCTATGCTATCTTAAGCGGCACTTCTATGGCAACGCCGTACATTGCTGGCGTGGCGGCCCTCTACGTCGGCCAGTTTGGCGGCCGCGCCAAACAGGACAAGAGCTGGGCTAAGAAGCTCGCCATGCGCATCATCTCCTCGGGCGAGCCCATCGGCTGGGACGATCCTTACTCCGGCAGCGGCCTCTTCGACGCCCTCGCTCCCGTTGCGCAGGTGGGCACCGGTCTCGTCAACGCCTCGAAGGTGCTGGGCCAGGACACGAGCCTGTCGTTCACCAGGTTTGCCCTCAACGACACGCGGGCACTTTAGCCGCTACCACAAAGTGGACATCACCAACACCGGGACAAGGCCCATCACGTACACGTTTTCGCAGCAGGACTACGGCGGTCTGGCCGCCGTCCGCACGGCGTCGCCGGCGCGTATCGCAGACGCCAGTGACCTACTGGCAAACCCGCTCAAGCTGAGCCCGCGGGTCTCATTCCCCCGCGCCGGTTTCACCGTCAATCCCGGACAGACGCGCACGGCGCAGTTCAACTTCGCGCCGGTGGCCGAGGGCGCCGCGGCCGCGCCCGAGGCGCTCCCCGTGTACAGCGGCCGGATCATCATCAAGGGCAGCAACGGCGACGAGCTGTGCGTGCCGTACCTCGGCCTCGCAGCGGACCTCAAGCGCGACGTGGGCGTCATGTTCGAGCGCACCGCCGGCGTGCCGCTGATTGTCTCGGGCCCCGCCAACGCCAGCATCGAGACCAAGGCCAGCTTCACCTTCAGCCAGGACGCCGCGCGGCCGGACTTCCCGCGCCTCTCGATGCGGAGCTTCTTCGGCACGCGCGAGCTGCGATGGGACATCTTTGAGTCGTCGTGGCGCGAGCGGCAGTGGGCATACCCGCCGCGCGAGGGCAAGGCGGGCTTCGTCGGGTCCGTGGCGGCGTGGTCGTTTGTCGGCTCGGATTTGATATTTGAGCCTGATTCCGACGATCTCTGGGAGATTTACAGGTTTCCCCTGGTCAATGTGCCGCGGACCATGTCGAACAAACTGAAGTCCGAGTTTTCTTGGTTCGGCGAGCTGGGCAACGGGACGCGGATCGCGCCGGGGCGGTATCGCATGCGGGTGGCCTCGTTGCGGCCGTTTGGCAATCGCGCGGCGTCGGACAATTGGGATGTGTTTGAGACGCCGGAGATTGAGGTGCTGCCGCTGAGCAAGTGAGACTGTCTAGTGTTGTAATCAGTCATTATACGAGTTTCACATTCCAGCTGAGCCATGTCGTCGGTTTGAGTCTCCAATGAACGTTGATCGAGAATTGACCAGTGTCAGGGACTTGTTCTGAGGGAGTAGCCTCCAGATTGATTATCGAGAGAAGTCCCCGAGTGGAAAGCTGTGTGCTGGCAGATGAATATCCTGCCAGATGATCATGCTCTCTGACCTGGCTCGAGGCATATCATGGGGCATGAGACACTGATGAGTGCCAGGAACTACCAGGACCATCTAACCAATCCTACCAGCATCACCTTTCCAATACCTTGAATTGCAGATAACAGTGCTTTTTGCACTCAGGGCCCTTCAACATGGTCTAGATTTTGTTTGCTCGCAGAGGCACTACGCATGCCCATCTACCCAGACGACAATATTCCTAGGCGGATCCGGCAGCCCCTTGAAAAAGGCCGACACCTGCTCGTCGCTGTACCGCATGCTGAAATGCATAATGACAAACGTCGTCTCGGGCCACCTGCGCACGACAACCTCGAGATCAGGCCAGTACGTGTGCTTCGTCTTCTCCGCCTGGGCCCTGTGCTCCTCGTACAAGAAGCTGCACTCGGTGATGACGACGGGGATGCCGTCCCGCAGCCACGGCGGCTCGGCGGCCAACACGGAGGCCGTCGTGTCGCCGAGGAAGGCAAAGACGGGGCTCGTGTGCGGGGCCGTGATGTCGACGCCCGAGGTCCGCAGGGCCTTGATCTCGTTGCCTGAGAGGGACGTGTACTCGGGCTTGAGGCGGTGGGTCGTCGTGCTGAAGACGTAGCCGACGCAGGGGACGTTGTGGTCGCACTGGAAGACGGTGGCGCTCATGCCCTTGAGGCGGCGCAGGGGGATCTCGTCGCCGGGGACGACGGGGTGCGTGACGTGGGTGCCGAGAAAGGCGCGCTGCGAGGGCGTCCGGCCGTCGTCGTCCACGTCGGGGGCGTCCTTGTCGACGGGCAGACCGCGGGCCTCGGCCTCGTCGTACTGGATGTGGCCGCCACGGTTCATCATGGTTTTGGCGAGTATGTAGTCGTCGAAGAACCTTTTCATCTCGACGGGGCAGTAGATATCTGGCGGGTCTTCTCGCTTGACAAAGGCGGGCGAGAGGAGGACGTGGTCGCTGTGGCCGTGGGTCAGGAAGATGTGCTTGGGACGCTCCTTGTTGACGACAAGACCGGCGTCGAGCAGGAGATTGAGCTGTGGGATGACGAAGGACGTGTGCCACGCGGCTCGCGACTTTCCCGTCAGGACATATTGATGGTAGGGCTTGGGGAAGCGCCACTCAAGGACCTCGGATCGATTTGACTGGGGCAGAGGTGTCGCAAAGGCAGGCGACGGCTGAGCCATGGCGATATGGCTCAGGAGTACTTGATGAGTAGGCCCTGACGTGGATCTCTCATTCAAGGTATGTACAAGGGTCCCAATTCTCGGGTCTCGAGGTGTGAGGCCTGGTTCTGTCAGTTGTGGGTGCCAGGGAAGGAAAGGCACCGTCAAGCAGTTGGCCATGGGCCTTGCATATTTCCCAACACGGACTCACAAGATGTAGAGGCTCAATTCTTGCGTCAGCCTGATGGACCCGAAGCAATGCCGCCCCCTGTTGAGATGTAGAAGCTCAGCATCCTGATGGTGTTGAGGGGAACTTGAGGCACTCAAAAATCGCGACTCACTCGATACTGGAGGCTCCGGGACCCACATGGCCTGCTGATGTCATCACTTCCAGCGCTCCACACTGACCCTCTGAAGCCACTAAAATCGTGGTGTCTGACTCTTACGAGAGTGCCCGGGGGAGCCCTGGGATCCGTTGTAGGGGCTCGAATGGCATCTGGCCACCAGCTCTTGTGGGCGCCGTAGTGATGCTCCAGTGGATGTCATAGGGGGGCACAGGCATCCAGCAAGCTCCTTCTTAGCGCATGGAGCCCCGGTCTAGCTAGGCCCCAGGCGAGACCTGAATGCCACTTACAGGGTCAGCAGGGCCTTAAACCCCTGAAGCATACCGCTGTATCCCCAGCAATGCACGCCTTCTACAAGTCCCCTGCCCACAGGTCACCGCTCAACGCGAGAACATTGCTTGGAAATCTTTTTACTCAATATCTGGCAATACTTCTGTGTCTTTACTGCACGACTCTGCACAGTAACATGCACTTGAGAAAGTCTCATCCCTCTTCTGAGAGACTACTACGAGTTTGCCATCGCCTCTTCAAGGACACCACCATCGCCTACACCCTCTCAGACAGCTGGGCCTCCACCAACCAGGAAACGGTGAGCGGCTTCGAACAGAACGACACAGTCATCGACCTCCTGAGATCTGCATTACCTGAGCTCGACCCAAACTACGAAAGTGTTCTTAGAATTTTGCGAAACTTACCACAGCTCACCGTTATTAGTTTCAGGGATTCAAGGGAACTTACATTTCTCTGGGAGTGATGGAGTAGTAAAACCATTGGACCAGGCTTGCAGCATTGTTTTGACTTGCATAGATCCACGCCGAGCTGAACATGATGTTAGTGACCTTCATTGTCTTTGGCCGATGTACTGCTATAGAGGCTTGATGGGATTTTGAAAAGGCATGAAGATATATTCTCCCACCATAGGAGGGTTTCTGTTGTTGTCCTCTCAATGGCTGCTGTCATGCCTGGTTCAAGACGCCGTGACGCATTTCTACCATCCTGAGGCCCGTAGAGACTAGGCTCATACACAGTCAACCTATTATGCTGACTTGTGTTGTATTCAAATGTGCTCAGTGCGTCAGACATTGACATTAAATAATCCGAAACTGAAAAAGATTGCGTGACTAATGTCGTGGTTCAAGCCTCGACCTTGAATTGGTTTGAAACAGTGATCATCCTGAATCCAAGCACTTCTCTGTACTCAAAACATGCACTTCCTTTTCTTCTTCTCTTCCCTTCCCCGAACATCCAAGCTTAACTTGTTCGGCATCATGACTTGCAGGACCTCGCGCTAGCGTCGAACCGCAGAAGATTCAGAATTGATATCACAACGGAGAACCCATCCGCCGAGGAGTTGTGCTCGACCACCTGTGCCATCCCACGCCATTTCAAGCGCATTCCGCCATCCGATGACCACAAAGAATCGCAAACACCAAGCCAGGTCGCCAGCGTCGTTGAAGCCGACGTGACGAGACATCCATAAATCCCGACAAACGGTTCTTACCCCCCCGCATCCAATCCCGGCAGCTTATCATCTGGCCACGAGCTCATGCAAGCCATGCCCCTTCTACTCCCCATCGGGACTGATGCGGGGGAAGCTTGAGCACCAACCCGTTCTCTTATCGACCGCTGATCGCCTAGGCCAATGTACCACAATCGTCTTAGCTTACGACTACGACGGTCATTGGGGAACGTCGCGTCCTAGAGGGTGCGAGGCGTCTTATCGCCTTTGTGTTTGGTTGGACTTATCTCGGAGGTTGAGAGGTCAGGTCACACATGGCTACAGCACCCCGCGCTCGGTAACGACGATTACGACCCAGGCCATGGTCAGTCTCAAGTATAAACGTCGGCCATCTCGCGAGCCTTCGACCATACCCCACGTCCTCAGTATTCTTACCAACTAAACCTTCGCAACTTGCCCGTCTCCTATTCATCAGTCATGCCTGCAGCAGTGAACGGCACACTGCCGCATCCTTTCGATCCCCTCACTTCGGCTGAGATCGAGCAAGCGATCGCCGCCGTCCAGAAGGCGCACGGCGAATTGTTCTACAATGTCGTCTCACTCCATGAGCCTCGAAAGGCCGAGATGACCGCCTGGCTGGCCGACCCTGCCGCCGCCCCTCGGCCTGCGAGGATCGCTGACGTCGTCGTCATCGCCAAGGGCGGCAAGGTCTTCGAGGGCTTCGTGGACCTGGTCGAAGACAAGATCACTCAATGGGATCTCCTTGACGGCGTGCAGCCAATCGTAAGCCGCTGTAGCTCTGACAGTGTCCATGCGCAAACTGACTGGCCAGATCACGATGGAAGAGCTCGTAGCCGTCGAGCACATCTGTCGCAAGGACCCCAAGGTCATTGAGCAGTGCGAGATCTCCGGCATCCCCAAGGAAGAGATGCACAAGGTGTACTGTGACCCCTGGACCATCGGTTACGATGAGCGTCACGGCAACGTCGTGCGCCTGCAGCAGGCTCTCATGTATTATCGCCCCGACGTCGACACGTGCCAGTACCAATATCCTCTCGACTTCTGCCCCATCTATGATGTTGACAAGCAAGAGATTGTCGATATAGATATTCCCAAGATCCGTCGGCCTATCAGTAAAACGAAGCCTGTCGACTACCACCCCGCTGCTATTGAGAATAATGGCGGGTACCGGAAGGATATCAAGCCCATAAATATCACGCAACCAGAGGGCGTGTCGTTCAAAATCGAGGGCAGGGAGCTCGAGTGGCAGAACTGGAAGTTCCACATTGGCTTTAACTACCGGGAGGGCATTGTCCTCAACAACATCACCTACAACGACAAAGGCAATTTGAGACCCATCTTCTACCGACTTTCGCTCGCCGAGATGGTCGTACCCTACGGCAACCCGGAGCATCCCCATCAAAGAAAGCACGCTTTTGATCTCGGGGAGTACGGCGCGGGCTACATGACGAATGCCTTGACGCTGGGCTGCGACTGCAAGGGGTCCATCCATTACCTTGATGCCGAGTTTCCCACGCGTGCTGGCGGTGTCCGCACGATCAAGAACGCTGTTTGCATCCATGAAGAGGACAGTGGAATTCTGTTCAAGCATAGTGATTTCCGTGATGACTCGGTCATCGTGACGCGGGCGCGGAAGCTCATTGTGCAGCAGATCTTTACTGCCGCTAACTATGAGTATGCTATTCAGTGGATTTTCCATGTAAGCTGCGTCCACGCTCATACCATTCCGTTCCATGGTCACTGACAACCACTCCAGCAAGACGGTACCATCCAGCCTGAGATCAAGCTCACAGGCATTCTCAACACATATGCCATGAACGAAGGCGAAGATACCAATGGCTGGGGCACCCAGGTGTTCCCCGGTGTCAACGCCCACAACCACCAGCACCTCTTCTGCCTGCGCGTCGATCCCAACATTGACGGCCCGCGCAACACAGTCTTCCAGGTCGACACGGTCGCTTCTGACGCCCCGGTCGGCAGTCCTGAGAACTTCTATGGTAACGCCTTTGGGGCCCGTCGCACCAAGCTCGACACCACAGGCAACTCGAAGACGGACTACAATGGCGCAACATCTCGCACGTGGGAGATTGCCAACACAAGCAAGCTGCATCCTTACAGTGGCAAGCCTGCTAGCTACAAGCTGGTCAGCCGCGAGGTGCCGGGACTGCTGCCCAAAGAGGGCTCGCTTGTTTGGAAGCGTGCAGCCTTCGCCCGCCACGCGGTGCACGTCACGAAATGTAAGCTTCCCATACCACCTTGCTACCTCACCATGTTGCCGTGCCCTGTGGACACCTACTAACAGTATAGACCGCGACGATCAACTGTGGCCAGCAGGCCGACATGTGCCTCAGACTTCAGGCGAACCCTCGCGCGGCATTCTTGAATGGATCGGCGACGGTACTGAGTCGATCGAGGACGAGGACGTCGTGCTCTGGCACACGTTCGGCGTGACCCATATCCCGGCGCCCGAGGACTTCCCCGTCATGCCGGTCGAGCCGATCACGCTACTGCTGCGGCCGCGCAACTTCTTCCGGAACAACCCCGTTCTCGACGTGCCGCCGAGCTATGCAAGCACGCCGTCGCAAGTTGCTGCGGGTAAGGGAGCCCTCGACGCGGCGGACAAGGATAGTACGCTTGCGTTTAGGGAGTGCTGCTCGAATGAGACCAATGGACAGGCAAATGGTACTAATGGACATGCGAACGGGACCAATGGACCGTCTTGAGTGGAGGTAAGAATGTAGGATTAGCGATGTCTGAATGCATTTTCCATTTTAAGAGGCCTCCCTCTCTTCGATTTCAGGTATTTTAATCGTTTTTCTATTCCTTTGCCTGCCAGCCTGACATTTTGCTTCGTCCTGAGGACGTGCGTTGGACTCGATCACTCTTGACCTTCGCCAAGAGATTTTCAGAACCTTGATAGTCTGGTCATGGTAGCAAAAGCTCTGGGCGTTCCGCAATAGATCCGTCTTGGGGTATCCCTTAGCAGCTCTAAGTCTGTCGCCAAGGCCACGAGCGGCACCTGTGGGTTCTCAAGGACGGTTACTTCTAATATGTGGGTTCGAGCAGTGAGAGATGCGTTCCCACGATGCCAGTAAAAAGCAGCTGAGCGCACTTGGCAATCCTTCGTTCGTCTTGGTATGAGTCGCCTCCACTCATGAAGAAATTTGGTTCCAAGCTTCAGATTTACGTGTTGAGGAGTCCGGACTTAAATATCTTTAGCAATTGCCAGCTCCGGGTCTCTCTTCCATAATTTCAGCACGCAATCGCTCAATCATCGTGAAAACCAGAAATCGAACAGTATGCCCACTAAAACACGCTTTGCTCTCGCGGCTACATTCCTCCTGTCTGGTCAGCCTTGTGCGACCGCCCAGAGGAACGAAAGCCTTGAAGACTGCCCTTTCCCCATCCGCCACCTCGCAGAAAATCGCAGCTGGAATACCACTGGCACGATTGCTATTCCACCGCTTGACAATGGAGACGAAGATTGGTTCGTCTCTACAACCCTGACCGATATCCGCAGAACCAACGTTTACTTCGACGGCTGGCCGACAGCTCAAGACCTGGCCGTCTTCCTCAGCGTGCCCCAGAGCTTTGTTGGCACCGAGACTGGCAACGCGACGCGCGTGTGCGGGTACACCATGCCCGGGCAGAATGCGACCTCTGTGGGTGACGCGTCGAGTGAGGACTCATGTAGCGGCGTATTGTCGGAAGAGTGTATCGAAGAAGCCTTGAAGACGCCGATGCCCCCCTCTGACGGGTCCTGTCCTGAGCTCGACCTCGGGGATAAATGTGACGTCTCCACTGGCTTCCGCACCTGTACGTGCCCTCCCGCCTCTCGTTCGCGTTCTTAGCTCGAATACTGACTGGGAAAGCCAACCCTGTACAACTCAACCCGTCCGTCTGCGTTTTGGACAATCTCCCGCACACCGATGTTCCAAACGGATACCGCTCCTTTGCTGGTTTCCCCGGCTGGCGCATCATGCCTCCGGACGAGGAGGAGAACGAGTTCGATGTATACGACCTGCGGGTACAGCAAACTGTGCCTATGCTTTTCACGGTGCAGTCTGGATCACAGCAAAAAGTGTACCTTGTCTGTCTTGCGCCAAACAAGGTAGTGGATGGGAGCCGGGAGCCACAGGCAGAGTTCCCGCCTTCGGATGCGGGGGTAGTTTGGCGCGGGTCCGGTTTAGCCTTCGCTGCGACATTCATGGCTGCTGCCATGCAGTTGTAAGTGTTACGGGGTATACCCGTTGATGTTGTATGGTCCTATGGCCTATATCTCTATGGATGCAGCCCAGATGAATTGACAACGTTGATTCCATACGTATCCTTTTGGCTTAATTGGATAGCTGCCAGCAAGGCACTTATGACCGTGTGAGGGCTGCCACTAAGCCCCTTCGGGGCCAACCGTAACAGTAAGTTACATCACTGGCTTGCAGTCAATCAATGCCATTGAGCATCGCAGGGCCCCGTGGTTACGACTCATATGATCAATTTGGAGTACCTGTGATGGCATTCAGGCCGATACTTGTCATCTCAACCCATAGTAAACGTAGTCAACCCCAAGCCAGAGAATAACTCCGTCACCAGGTTTGTCCGAGAATGAATTACGACCTTGGCCCTTTTGCTGCGACTGATCGACATACTTGACCAGTTCGGATTGACTCCCAATCATTGACAGAAAGAGAATCTGCTGACGAGGTCCTATTCTGCAGTGGTTGTGTTGTTCCGACTACTCGCCCTTCTTGGGGGTACCCTGGGCTTGCTTCTTTTCAGGGACCTGGGAGTCTGGCTTTTGGTCCTTGGGCTTCTCAGCCTCCTTTGTCTTCGGGCCAGTCTTGGGCTCTGTCTTCTTCGGTCCCTCATCCTTAGGGGCTGGTGTCTTCGAAGGACCGTCCTTCTTAGGGTGCTCCGGCTTCTTGTGCTCGGGCCTCTTTGGATGCTCGGGCCTTTTGGGGTGTTCAGGCTTCTTGGGGTGCTCCGGCTTCTTGGGGTGTTCAGGCTTTTTGGGATGCTCTGGCTCCTTAGGATGCTCTGGCTTCTTGGGGTGCTCCGCCTTTTGTTCTGGCTTCTTGTGGTGCTTAGGCTTCGGGTTCTTGGGATGCTCCGGCTTTTTAGGATGCTCCGGCTTCTTGGGGTGCTCCGGCTCTTCATCGTGCTTTGTCTTGGGCTTATCGTGGTGCTTGGACTTGCTAGGATGCTTGCCATCCTTCGGGTGCTTCTTCTCCGGCTTGTCGTCGTGGCCCTTGGATTTTTGCTTATCACCCTTCGTCTTTTCGTGCTTCTTAAGGCCCTTCTTCTTGTCGTGCTTGTCACCTTCCTTCTTGCCGTGGTTTCCGGGCTTTTCTTGCTTTTCTTGAGGAGGGTTTCGCATTTCAGCAGATGGATTGACAGATTCAGCTGCATCGCTAACCCCCATCTTTGTCACATCCTTGCCCTTCCTTTCTTTTCCTTTTCCTTTCTCCAACTTCTTCTCCTTGATAGTCTCTTTTACCTTCTCCACAGGAGCCTTCTCCTTTTCCACGACTGGCACTATGGCGCTGTACTTCTTCGCTGAGCGGCACATGCCAAGACAGTCGGTGGTAGTCGTACATCCTGCAGCAATTGGGACGCAAACCCAACCCTTGCCGCAGTCAGGCTTGGCGAGAGTTCGACAGAACTGGCTCTTGGGCATGGCGAGTGCCGTAGGCAGGATGAGGGCAGCGCCCGTAAGAAGGGCCCCGAGCTTCATGGTGGTCAAATGTAATAATGATGAACAAGGGTGTTAGGGGGGTCTTGATAGCACCACAAGATGTGAAGTTGCAATGAGGGTTTCTTGAGAAGCAGGGAGCCATCATCTTATGTAGACGAGATTCAGTTGCCATGATCGGAAGCGGCCTCTCAATGAGTTCGTGACACGGAGCGTAGTGGAAAGTGGTTTTCCTTTTCTGAAGCCTGCTCGTAACCTTACCAAGCCTGAATGTCACAACTCCAAGGTCACTGCATAAACGGCTGAACTCAATTCCACGACTTCACCAGCTGTCGCCGTGATCCGAAGCGGCCACCCCCAAGTGGCGCAATATCTCAATGAGGATGTCACTGGTTGTATCCAAGATGCATATTGCCTTGGACTTTATTCTGTGCTACAGCATATATTTACTCCAGCATGACTTTTCTTTTGCATATGAGTGAGGATATTAGACGTGGCCCGTGGCTGCAAAGCACGCCCTTCCCGGAACGCAATGAAGGTTCGATGCCTGGTGAGGTGGCTTCGAATTTCTACCCGCTGCACATAGATTTCGAAAAGCGCTGACGGAAAATAGTGTCTGACCTATGCTTCGTATTGCAGGTTGCTAGACTCGCGTCCCAAACATACCTTCACGGCACAACACTACGGCGGACAAACCTCTTCAGTTTTACTGCCTAAAAATGGGTGATGGCCATCATATTAAGAAGGTAGATACAGGATCCCTACTAGTTTCCCGACGTTGCAGCGGATGGCGACAATCCCCACACCTTTGACGCCTCACGAATCGCAAACTCAGCATGTGTGGGCACTGAACTCCGGCCGTGCTCCCAGTCAATTACCCTGTGGCGCTACAGTACTGAGCCTTGAATTGGCGTCTGGCGAGCCCCGGCAAATGGTCATCTCCAGTATGTAGTCGGTGTTATCAAAAGCAGGGCGTAAGGACTTGGACACAAACCTAGTAACGAGAGGAGGAATAAATCTCAGTCACCAGCCTGGGCAGGCTTGTGAACAGTCGATGAGGGGAAAATCGTCACCTGCATAAGACGATCATACCTCAAATCCGCCCCCAACGCCCTAACCCACACATGCCGAGGACGTCACAACATCTGACCACACCCCAAGGGCCAGAGGTCTCAGCACTCATTCATCCCGGAGACCAACTCTGCCCGGCCGATCACAGCAGCGCCGACCCCGCACCCGGCCGAACGAATGAGCGCCAACGCCGCCCCCACGTGAATGTCCGATTCCGAGGCCCCGCGCCGGTCGCCTCTTCTGGGTGACCTCACATGCAAACTCGCTCTTGTTGGTGTCGTATATCGGGCGAAAGCCTACCGTGGAACATGCTGTGATCGTCACGACACATGTTGCTTGTTCCTATTTCCCGCGGTGATACTGTGACACGGTCGGTCGGCTGCATCTCGGCTCGCCGAGACGGGCGAAAACCACGATGATCTTCGCTACAAGTCGTTCGGATGAGCTGGGAGCGAGCCACGTGCTTGAACCGACACGATCGTCAGGGACACCTCAACGCACGCCAAGGCCCAGGTCATCGAAATGACCCCTCAGACCCTCAACAGAGCGGCAAAACATAAGTACCGCGACCGCCATGCAATCTCATTCTCACCATCGAGACATGCTCAAGAGCAGCGGCGGCAACACAGCAGCGATGAAAGCAAAAGTCCTCCTGGCATCCGGCCTCTCGGCCCTCGCAGCCTCGAAAATCATAGAGTTCACACCCCGCCTCATATCCTACAACATCCGCTGGGCCGTCCCCGTCGTCCTCCCCCCGGAACCCGCCTGGTCCGACCGCCTCCCCTCCCTGGCATCGCAGCTCTTCCACGAAACCGCCGGCCGCCCGACATCCCTCGTCTGCCTGCAGGAAGTCCTCGCGACGCAGCTCGCCGACATCAAAGCCGCCCTCGGCACCCCAACCTGGACCTCCGTCGGCGTCGGCCGCGACGACGGCGCCGAGGGCGGCGAGTTCTCGCCCATCCTCTTCCGGCCCGACGCCTACGAGCTGCTCAACAGCTCGACACGCTGGCTCTCACCGACGCCAGACGAGCCGGGCAGCAAGGGGTGGGACGCGGCGCTGCCGCGCGTCGTGACGACGGCGACGCTGCGGGAGCGTCGGAGCGGCGCGCCGCTGACGTACATGTGTACGCACTTTGACCACATTGGCCAGAGGGCGCGCGTCGAGTCGGCGAAGCTGCTCGTGCGCTTCGCGGAGGAGGCTGCGGCTGTGGTGGTGGACGGTGCGGAGGGCGAGGAGACGCCTGTTTTCCTGGGGGGCGACTTGAACATTACGCCGGAGAACCCTGCGTATCTGGAAATGGTTGCTGAGGGGAACTATCACGATGCGAAGGATGTTGTGGATCCGAGACGAATCCATGGACATCTCAACACCTATACAGGGTTTTCGGATAACCGGCGTGGGTGGTCGCGCATTGATCATGTTTTTGTCTGGAGGCCTGAAGCCCGGGATATGGAGCTGCTCAACTACGGCGTCGTGGAGAACAAGTTTGATGACGATCTTTGGATATCGGATCATCGTCCCGTCATTGTCGATGTCAGCTTTGCAGTCAACAAAACATGTGTTGAACGCAGCTAGTCAAATGGACCGAGTAATGAGTATCAAGAGTCTATCATGTCTCATCTACAAATATCATGACATTGTATCCTTCACATCACATCCCTCTAATACTTGCCCGTGATGGTGATCTCAGGCGCCTGGAACACGTCCCAGTTGTCCGAAGCCTCGGGGTTTCCGAACGGCTTCAGCGTAGCGAAGCGGATGTGATACTTGCCCTCGTCGATCTGGCTTCCGTTACCCAGCCTGCCGAACCAGTAGTAGCGGAAGAACTGTGCCGTGTTCTCCGCGTTACGGTAGATGTCCGTGACGGGGAAGGTGAAGGTCTGGTTGGGGTTGTGGAAGACAGGGTTGAAGACTTCAACCGAGGCAGCACCAGCCCAAGCCGCGGCGGGGCCGATGTAGCCGTTCTGGCCTTCAACAGGAGGGTACTTCCAGTTGCGCTCCCTCCAGCCAGCTTCGTAGATCTGTACAGGCCAGTCAGTAAAACCCCCAGCAAGAACAACACGAGTAAAACATACATCGAAGCGAACCTGGCGCGAGCCCCAAATGAGCTTGCTGAAGATTTTGGGGAAATCCTGGGCACCAACACTCAGGTCAAAGGAGTAGCTGAAACTGTTAGCACAAGTCAAATGGATGAGCCATATAGTACATACGAAGCCTTCTGAGCAATGGGGGTGTTGCTGACGCCCGAGTACGACAGGGGAAAGCCGGACTGGTAGATGGGATCGGATTGGCGCTTAAGATCGGCACCGAGGCCAAGGAAGGGAACGGACAGGCGCTCGCCGTTGCTGCCAACAACGAAAACCTTGCCACCGTAGAGAGGCAGAGCCGAGGCGTTCCAGCCAAGGGTGTCAGGGTTGCGGAAGTTGACGCTGACGGTCTTGCTCTCGCCGGGCTTCAGGGTGAAGTCGCGGGGCAGGCTGATGCCAACCTCGAGCTTCTTGGGACGCAGCTCAGCGAAGCTCTTGAGACGGCGGGTGAGGCCTCCAGTGACGGTGGGGAGGTAGCCGAGAGAGTCGACACCAGCGCCATGTTCGTACGAGAGAGCGTACTCGATAGTCTGCTTGCCCTCGTTCTTGACGGTGATGTCGTGGTAGCGGTTGAAGTAGCGCGTGTCGTTGAGCTCAATCTTGTCAAACCGCAGGAGGGTGTCGTAGTTGACGACCTTCCAGGCGTTGATGAGACCGCTACCGACCTGAGCAGGGGGGGCGGGGAAGTTGTAGTCAAGAGCGGAGCCGTCAGACCAGGGCACAGAGACACCGCTGGAGATGATGCGCTCGCTGAGTTCCTTGGCGAAGCCGTTGCCGTGCTTGGATCGACCGCCATGAGCACCGATCCAGAGAGCAGCAACACCAGCGACGTAAGGGCAGGCCATCGAGGTACCACTGATGGTGTTGTAGCCACCATCGAACCACGCACTGAAGATATCGCCGCCAGGACCAGCAACATCGGGCTTGAACTGGAGGTCGTATGTGGCGCTCCACGAGGTGAAGATGCTGGGGCGGCCACCAGCATCATAGTCGATGGCAACCACCTGCTCGGGGTTGATGGAGAAGTCGGCCGTAACATTGCCACCAGCCTTGATGGTGTTGACGATAGCGACGCCAGCATCGGCGCTGATAGCAGCAGTCAGGGCGGGGGAGGCTGCGTCGAAAGGAGGCTTCTGCAGGGTGCCCTCATTGTTGTAAATCAGGACGTACTTGGCGCCAGCGGCAGCAAGGTTCTGCTGCTTGACGGTATAAGCACAGGTTCCGCGCCTCACAAGAGCGACAACGTTGGAGAAGTCGCGGCCGGTAAGAGGAGAGCAGGCGTCGTCGGCAACAGCAGTGTTGAGCGTGACGGGGACAATGGGCCAGTCAACGACAGAGGGAGGCACGTTCGATGAGGCGGGAATGTATCCGGCCCTGGTTGAGTTGACCTTGCCGTCGAGGCTGAAGGTGACCTCGAAGGGCGTGGCCGGGAAGACCTCGTTGCGAATGGACGCAACAGCGACAACGTTGCGACCAGAACCGCCTGAAGTGCCGAAGAAAGCACCAGCAGCACCGCTGTTGCCGGCGGAGATGGTGACGACAACGCCATCCTCCACCAAACGAGAGGCGACGACAGCCCAGGCATTCTCAGCCCAGCCGTTGGTGCCTCCAATACTGGCAGTGATAATATCGACCTAGCAATGTCAGCGGAGCGACATCACTGTGGGCAATGGCCACTTACACCATCCTCATACGCACGGAGGAAAGACTCGATCAGAGTGGCCGAGTCGGTGGAGGGCTAAGATGAATCAGCGTCAATCCATCTTCGCGTCACAGGGTCCAGCTTCACGTACGGACTGGGAGAAGACCTTGTAGGCGTAAAGGGTAGCCTCGGGCGCAACACCCTTCCAGCTACATTTGGTCAGCGTTTTCCTTCTTCCAGTGGAAGAGAATTGTGAGTCATCGTACTATTCGGTGGAGCCGGCAATGATGCCAGCAACGTGGGTGCCGTGACCGCTGAAATCGTTCGGGTCTTGGTCGGGCTCCTTGGGGGTGGTGGGCCAGACTGGTAGTGATAATTAATACAGCATCCAGAGACGACGTGTGGATGGCCAACTCACTTCCGTCGCCAACCAGATCGTAGCCACCGGCAACCTTGAAGCCAGGTCCGAAGCCCTTACCAAGCTGCACATCGTCAGCAACTGTCTTCTCCGCTCGAGGTCTCTTCACGCACAGCATTGTGGTTGTAGGCAATACCAGTGTCAACGACGCCGATCTTGACGCCCTTGCCGAGGATGCCCTGCTCGTGGAGCTTGTCGACACCGGTAGCGATGTGCGGCGTGTACTCAATGGCCTTGGCGTCGTCGCTGAAGCCCTGGTGGACCTCAAAGGACGGCAGGTCGACCTTCTCGTTGAGCCAGACGTTCTTGACCTCAGGCAGCCTCAGGAGGGTGTCCAGGTTGTAGGACTCGGTCTCGACGCTGACGCCGGAGAAGATGTCCGACTCGAATGTCTTGACGACAGTGATGTCGTCGGTGGACTCGAGGCTGGCCTGGCGCCTGCGCAGAGAGCTCTGGTACGGATCAGCGGGGGCTCACGACCACGGTCACTGACATGACGGTTCCTTACACGGCTGTACTCAATGATGTAGCTCTTGGCGACGTACTCCCGGTTGTCCTCGGCCGTGTCAAGATCGAGGCGGCGCTCGAGGGCAAGGGCGCCCCGTGCCAGGGGCAGAGCCAGAAGCAGACTGTTCACACGCATGGCGATGGACTGGACCGGACTGAGAAGTCTCGAATAGTATCGCAGCTGAGAGCCTGACGATCACAGGATCATTGCAGATCACGGGCGCGCGTGCTGGATTAAATAGCAGCGCGTACTCGGGCAGCAGCCTCGGCGGCGGGCGTCGGAAGAATATCCATCGACGACCCCTGCTCCCACCCCATCTTCGCGCATCTTTGGCAAAATCCAAGACGTGATATGATGACTCGTTCTCGCCTGTGCTACCGACACCGCAGGTCGAGCTCGTGTTGGCTCGAGGCGCAAGGAATACAAGGCGCCGTCAGGAGAGGGGCCATGTCGCGTGCTGCTGGACAGGCATAGCGTCAACGCAGAGGGGTGCAGAGGTTGGCGGGCACGAGAGACCTGCCAAGCCTGGCGATGGTCGTTGAGCTTCCTTGTTGGCACAAGCCAAAGGGGTCCCGGGTCGGTAGAGCCAATAAGCCAGATCGGGTGCGTGCCGGATGCCACTGTAAAGATTGTCGACCTGCCGAGTTGAGCGAAAGCGCCGCAGCGGATGCCGGAGGTCCCAGGGCGCACTAGGGCCCGAGGGCATAGTGCAAAGAGGGCCCGGGTGGCGTCCATCTCATCTTTTCAGTTGGGAGGCAATGGAGGGAAGATGGGCGGTCCATCGAGGGGCCTTATCGGCCAGGCAAGCCAGGGTAGGGATCTGGAGGAGGGGGCGACGCCAGGCCTGATCAGGCTTCTGGAATGGCAAGTGGATAGTGGCGGCCTGCAGCGTTGCATCGAACCGGGGAGCGCGCGGGGTGGGAAGGCTCTGAGCGCGAGGCCAGAAGCTGCATACTGTGCATCGTCCTGCCGTTTTCCCTCTGGGGCGATATCACGACAGACAGGCTGCGTCTTGCGACGGCGTGCTCATTGGTCGTCTCGTTCGTAGCGTTCCAAACCTATGCGGGAGAGGCGTAGGGAGGAGATGTTCCTGGGCACTTGGCTCTATTCTCGTTCTCGTTCTAGGCTGTGGGCACCTGGATGACTCCATCTCGGAGCCGTCGACTCTTCTCGTGAGAAGCCAGGGTTAGGTGTTTCGGCGCCGCCCGACGGTGCCTGGACCGTTTCTGGTGATCATCATCTCCGATGGCAGCTGAGAAGCGCAGGACGATGCGCGAGGCGTGAAGCTTGATGCATGAGGCGCGAGGCGAGCGATGGGGCGATGGATAACCGGCACCACGATGCAGACGACATGATGAAGTGTTTCGGCGAAGAGGAAAGAGAAGGCTTCTCAGCAGCCCGAAGAGACAAGAAAGGCAAGTTCGTTTGTGGTAGGGTCGCGCCTGACCAAGAATATCCCCGATCCATGGGGTTGCAGCCACTATTTTTGCCCATTTATTGCACCTGCCAACCTATGCCCACGGCGCCACACACATTCCGCCACACTTCTGTCCCCCCCGAGGCAGGTACACCTGGAGGTACCTACCTTGGATAGGTAGGTACCCGAGGCGCCTCGTCATACAGGACTCAGGCCGTCAGGTCCTGCACCTGAACAAACACCTTCCTCCCAACTCTCTCGATTGCCCTGGGTTGAAAAAAGTTGAGAGACCGGAGCTGAGGCCAAATTACACCGACAAGGTCAGACTTGGGTGATAACAGTCGCTGACGAGCAAGCAAAAATATAGACACAAGTCTCACGCTGCAAGGCACCAGATGCAAGAGTTGCTGAAACAGGAAACCTCACAGCAAAAGTCGTCACACTCAGCTGTCTCGGAAAACCCTATCAATTGAACGACATTCTCATCTGGGGTCTGGGGCACGGCCCTGCCAGAAACCGTGGCTTTGGCATGACATGTCGTCCGTGACACATGGGTGGTTGTCAACTTTCTTGCTGCAAGCCTCTGTCTTGCTTTGCCGCCCGCCCCGCCCTCGTCCCGTCCCGTATTGTGGGCAGATCCTCGACTCAGTTCAGACATCCTTTGTTGGTCTGTGCCTAGCATGGCTGGACATATTGAGACTGTATGCGTTATGTTGTCACTCGAATCGACCAAAGATCGCCGTCGTGGCATGCGCAACTTAGACACCGCGATCATCCTCATTACGCATGGTTGACGGCATGCCCGGTCTGATGCAAGGCGTGCACTGGAGAAAGATTGCAGCAGGACGTTTATGCCTTTCAAGATCACAGCCTCTGTGATCTATAAAGTCCAGACAGGCTGGACAGCACAGGAATTGTTCGACAGACACACGACTTCCACACGCTCAGGCTTCTCAGCACCACAGCTTCTTCAACACTACAAAGCTTCACGTTCGTTACAATGGCCACCCGCCGAACCTTCTTCTCTTTCCTGGCAGCTCTGTGCGCGGCACAGGGCATCAATGCCACTTCATACTGCTACTGTGAAGGCGGCCCAGGTTTCCACTACCTTGGCATCGAGACTGTGTGTGCCGAACTCGGGTAAGTCCTCGTTGACACGAACAGAAAAGTCTTGAGCATATCTGACCATGTTTGCAGCACACCATGGAACACGACCAACTGCGACCTCGGCAGCTCTGACGTCTGCAAGTTCGGCGGCGACGGCGGCGCGCCTACCGATGGCACGCAGTCTCTCCGGCAGTGGTGTAAGACGAACTCCGAGCACTCGTGACATGGGAGGATGAGAAGATGCAGAGACTGACCTTTCACAGGTGAAAGCCCTGACCGGCAGGGACGGGATCTCAGCGGCGAGACAGTGCAAGGCGGTGCCCTCATCTGCACCGAGTCGAAGCCCGGTACGTCGAAAATTGTTGGGGTTGCAACCTCTATGCAGCCTTGAGAGACTGACATGACACAGAATGGATCGATGATTCGTGTGAAGCCCTTGGACAGGCGGGACTAGAGGAAGATATAGAAGGCCCTCCCATCGACCTCGACGAGCCAGTCGATGGGTCGGAAGACACGGACGGCATCCCAACACGCCTCCGTCGCCAAGCCGACAAATTCGGAAGCGACTTTCTCCGCTACGTCCCTGCAAGCAAGACGGCCAACCTGATCAAGACGGCATCCAATCGCAACGTCAAGACCCACGGTGACGGCAGCAAGGAGACGATCCATCAGGTCAACGAGCTGCGCCTCAAGGGATACAACTGGAAATTCCTGCGCAGCTACGACAACCAAAAGGGCGCCGCCGACTTTACCGACAGCGTCGAAATCACCAAGGGCTTTGAGACATCGTCCGGCTCCAACACCAAGGCGGAACTGGCCGTGAGCTTTGGCTACAACGGCCTTGCCGCCCAGTTCAGCGTCGACGCCAGTCTCTCGCACGAGTTCTTTTCCCAGAAGCGCGAGACGGTCACGACGAAGCGCAACGAGACGTTCTTCGTGCCCAAGGGCGCCGCCGCCTATCTCTACCAAAAGGTGTACGTCTGGGAGTCGACGGTGACGTTTAGGCTGACGTCCGTCGGCGGCCCGTTTGACAATGGAGGCAAGCCGGGCAAGCGTGGCACCTTTGACCTCGCCATCGATGAGAGCGAGCCCCTCTTGGCTTCGTTTGAGTTTGACGTATTGACGGAGGAGAAGGTTGTCAAGGATGCGCCGCTGCTCGACCGCGGAACATTTGACGTCGCGAGACTCTTTGAGCTGAAAGAACCCAAGTTCCCCAAGGCTGAGGCTCTGTACGAGGAGGACTGGACCGGCCACGTTCGCGACTTCATCAAGAAGCTCGGCTTCTCGATCTGATCGGGATTTTCCCAAACAGGGCTTCTGCAACAAGCCTGAAGCACGGAGCCAGAGATACTTTGCGCTTGGAGACAAGCATGAATGAATGGGGAGTGGGCAAGAGGGGCTTGCCACTCTTCACAGCGTCGCTACGACGAAGACAAACGAGTGATGGTCAGGGTATGCTGTAATTTTAATTTGTTCTTTTCATCACAAGTAGTTCCTTTAGATTCTGCTATATAATTCAATTGCGCAAGAACGCGCAACATCTCGCCATCAGCATTGCCTCGTGGCCATGTTTCCAGTTTAAGCTACTTCTCAGTGCTCCCTTTACCGCGGGTGAACGTTCTGGAAGTGAATCTTGCTCATGGAGCAAGTCTCCTGATACACCATGTGTTTTCGATCTATCGACGAAATGACGTCTAAGTCTAAGTATTGGACTTTTCGTTTTGAGAGTTTCTGTATCATAATATCAGGCAGAGTGGGCGAAACACTGTTTTAAACATGAATGCCTTTCTGTACCTCAATCGAGCATGCATTTCGATCCTGGCCATCCCTTTCTCCTACAAACTTGCAAATAAATAAGCAAGAAGAAAAAAATCAAGATTGCCCTAATGGCTTTCCCAAATTAGCATCCTCCTCTCTAGACTTCCCATGGGCTACCTCACAAGGCAAACCAGCTTCAGCATCCAGCATTAAGAGGCAAAGGAAGCAGTGGCGCCACCGCATGAGCCACTGCTGACCCTCATCACCTGCTACCGCCTGCCAGCACTTGAACTCTGTCTCACTCGTCCCCTCCCCCAGCCGAGGTGCGATGCCCGAGTCGGGGAACTCCAGCCCAAGCACTGCCAAGCACCGCCCGACGAACCCAAGCCCGATCCAATGACGGCCTGAGCCCCGGGTCGAAACATCAGATCATCTCGTTCCTGAACGTCAGACAAGAGAAGTCAATCTACACTCTGTTACACCAAGTGGACTGACTGGTCTCTCGTCACGCAAAACCCATGACACCCGCCTATAAAGCACCCTTGGTCCTAGAACGTCAACCAAAGGGAACATCACCAAAAGGCATTGCAACACCCCATCGTCACCATCACATCTAAACCGGACATCTTACCCCGCTTCGGCCTACCTACTCAAAACATCTTGATCAAACCCAGCAAACACACGGCACATCACACCCATCCCCACGCCCCATACGCATCACAGGACGTCCACCATGTGCATCGTACTTCTCACGACAGCTCACCCCTCCTACGCCCTCATCGTCATCGACAACCGCGACGAGTTCATCCTCCGTCCCACCTCCCGCCCACACTGGTGGTCCCACCCCGCGGGGCCCACCGTGCTCTCGCCGCGCGACCTCCAGCGCGCCGAGAAGGGCACCTGGCTCGGCCTCACCTCGACCGGCGCGCTCGCCGTGCTGACCAACTACCGCGAAGACGGGCCCCCAGACGCCGCGCACCCGATCCACGCGCAGCGGTCCCGCGGCGGCATGGTGACGGCCTGGCTGGGCGCCGACCCGCGCGAGCCGACGGCCGAGACGGTGCAGAAGCTCGTCGCCGACGGCGGCGTGCGCGGCGTCGGCGGCTTCAGCATGGTGGCCGGCAAGCTGCGGCGGAAGCGGGGCGAGGAGCGCGCGCTCGAGGGCATCGCCATCGTCTCGAACCGGTGCGGCCACGTGCATGACGTGCCTTGGATCGGCGAGGCGAGGGGCGAGGTCTACGGCCTCAGCAACACGTCGTACCTCGACCCCGACGCGTGGCCCAAGGTCGAGGACGGCAAGAGGCTCGTCAGGGAGGCCGTGGAGCAGGCGGTGGCGGAGGACCTTGACGAGGAGGCGCTGACGGAGAAGCTGTTTGGCGTGCTGGGCACCGATACGCTGCCGGCGCCCAGGCCGGGGCAGGGGTTCGCCGAATACATCCCGCAACTGAAACACAGCATCTTCATCCCGTCGATTGGCGATGAGCATCACCGGCAGGCCATGGTCGAGGCCACGAAGAGGGGCAAGGGCGAGTGGGATACCGACGACAAAATGGCGGCTGAACAGCTGCAGCGACCTGATGCAACGTCTGGCGAGAACGGCATCGGATTCGACACGGGCATGTACGGGACGCAGAGACAGTCGGTCATTCTGGTTGACTGGGATGGAAATGTGGTCTTCAAGGAGCGTGCCCTCTGGGATTCGAATGGAAACCCGATCCCGAAAGGAGAGGGTGACGTTGTCTTCAAGTACAAGATTGACGGGTGGGATGACTGAGTGTGCATATGGCATCGTTTCATCATCTTTATGCTCAGCACACATTCTAGATCGGCCGCATCATCCGCATAACGGACAAGAAAGTAGAACTAGACAAAACAGAGGAGCATTTGAGGAGTATGAGGGCTGGATACGCCAGAAACATGACGAGAACGCCATGATCAAAGGGTATTCGTTCCAATGAGGTCGTGAACTGCATGTGAGCTACATGAGCTTGTCTAATGAAGGTGATACTTAGCTGAACAAGGCCCCTGGCAGCACAAACTTCAACGTGTGGTCTTCATTGTCAGGGATAGTGAAATCAAGACTAACAGCGATGAGTAACACTTGCCAAAGGCACAGATCTTCACAAAGAGCCCAACAATGATGTTCTCCCAGCACTACAGGGCTCCATAGATAGGTGAGCCAGGCAGTTGCTGGCGGCCTACTGACCATCGCCATGCCGACAACCACAGATCGTGAGGGCAGTCGTGACCGTGGCCCATCACGTCAACGCAATGTAAACGTCAACATAAACGTCGGTGGCTACCTTCCCTTCCTATCTTCTAGGCTATCTGAATCTGTGAATTCCTCCTGGACACAAGAGGCCAAGTACAATACCTCTTCCCGTCTCCCAACGCTGCCTTCCCGAACGAAACACAAACTTTCCCCTTCATTATCACTATCAACCGGTAACAAGCCTAGGGCTTATTGATCCTCTCCCAACTGCTTTTATTGTTGCATTCATTATTCCTGTCCTCCACGCTCTCCTCATATCTCAAGATGGGCCGTTTCGACCACAAGAAGTCTCGTCTGCCCACCCGAGAGGGTGCCGGATCTCGCCCTTCTCTTCGCAGCCTTATATCGGCACCAGTGGGACCGATTCATCGCAGTAACGGCCAAGACCTCCAGCGGAGCGAGGGATTCTCCATCGTCCCCTCGATCGACTCCTGCGCCGGCTCTAACCCTAATAACCCAACCGTAGGTGAACAGAGCAAAGAGCATCTCGATATGGCCGACGCCCGAAGCAACAACAATGGTCGGATCATGGAAGGCGGTGTCGACAAAACTCGGCTCCGCATTCCGACCAGCTCTTCGACACCTATGGTAAGACGGCTTTCTGCAAGCTACAGGGGTGGCCGGCCGCCTGTTGGAAGCCCTGTTACTGCCAGCGAGAACAAGACGACAACTCGTGGCACCCTTGCCATGTCACGAACGACTATTGGTTCTAATGCATCGGCCACCAAGTTCCAATCCCAGCTCAGGGTTGGTGAGTCAGGACGTGCCAGTCTGGGCAGCATGAAGCCATTGCCCGAACTGCCAGCTGTGAAGCAAACCAAGGGCAGACTGAGCTTGTTCACCGGAAAGAAGAGCAACTCAACTTTCAGTCTTGGCACCAAGGCCAATTTCCAGACTAAAAAGCCTTCATTCGAGCCCACAACCAAGACGGCTACCTCGGACATCGAGATCAAGTCCATCGCCTACCCGCACGCTCCTCCTCCCAAGCCTCGTCTCACCAAGTCGAGAACTCTCGCGGCACTGACTAACCTGACTGCCTCTCTCTCACGAACATCGCTCGTCTCGGACCGCAAAGCCAGTTCCTCTTCCAAGGCCAGCGTGCCTTCCGTCAGAACTGCCTCGCCCGCGGTATCCACCCTAACCCCTTTCCCCGTCCTTCCCGAGGAACCCCCCGTGTCTTCTCAGCCCAACGATGTCACATCGGCCCAGCCCTCGGCGTACTGGTCGGGGAGATACCTTGCCCTCCACGACAGATACAAGTCAGAAGCCAACCTGACCGAAGCCCCGATGCGTACCCTTCTCGCCCAGACGCCGAACCGCATCACCCCGCGCTCGGGTCTCACGCAGAGCAACACCACCGTCGGACTGACGACCCTGACCAGCTTCCAACAGACCAGCATTCCCTCTGTCGCCACAGGTCGCACCTACGTCGACGACGAACCCATCGCCATCTCCGTGTTCCGCCGCCTTGAGGAGCTCTGCACCACGCCCGAGGCCCGCGAGAGCCTGCGAGCCTGGCAGCTGTCGTACGCGCGCAAGATCAACTGCGTCAAGCTGCTCCCCCCGGGCGAGACGATGGATGGCTCTGCTCCTCCTCGTGGTGAGGGCGTCGTCGCTCGTTTCCTGGCCCGCAAGAGCGTCAGTGAGCACACGGATGGAAATGCACTCCGCAGCGACTTGAAGAAGTCCGTTGTCAGCAAGAAACCGAACAATGTCTGACAGGATGAGAGGGACCGAAAATGTGCTTTGCAAAGCTAAGCATTGTGGACGAAGGGATTGTATACTTACTGTACTTGTATTTGGATGTCGTTGGTAATGGTCGGGATTGTTGCTTTGGCTTGAAGGACATCGCTGCTCATGTTCAGTGAGCAGCCACTGGATGCGGAACCTTGGCCTAGGGGAACGGATGAATAGACAAGTGTATCAGTAGCACCAAAGGAACAGCACAAGAAATGACGCTCAACTAATGAATAGTTCGTTCAAAGGTATCTCGTCGCCATGTACCGTGCCAAAACGCCTTCCGCCCGCAGGCCATGCGGATCCCAATTCCGGCTCGTGAACCCCCCCTGTATTCCCTTGTCTTTCCCGACATTAGTCTACTACACAATAAACAAGACAACGCAACTTCAAGCATCAGGTTATTCTGTCAGCCATCGCCGCCGCTCGACCTCGTCCGCCCCCGGGACGACCCCCTTCATCTGATCCATCCTGTCCAGCTGGTCGGCGTTCTAAGCCTTCTTCCGCAGCTTGAGATAATCGCGAATCTGCTCATGCTTGCTCGCGAAGAACATGCGCTTCCGATCGTTCCGCCACGCGAGCACGCCAATCTCGTCGGCGAACCGCGCGATATCCCTGTACTCGGCATCGTCGTCGAAGTCGCGGAAGAGGAAGCCAGACGTCGTCTTCATGCGCTCGTTCTCGAGCTGCCAGAGGCGGATCTGGTCGACGACGGTGGGCGGGAGGACGGGCTTGCCGTCGGCGGCGGCCTGTCTGTGCATCTGCTCGTGGGCGTGGGCGGCGAGGTAGGAGATGATCTGGTCGGCTGTGATGCCAAAGTCGATGGCCTGGCGGACGGACTGGCGAGTCAGACGACCGGAGACCATGCCTGGGAACTTGACGGAGAGGTGGCAGAAGAGAGAGAGGACGGCGATCTGCAGCTGCGACGTTGTGTACGCGTAGACCCGGTAGTTGGTCTCGACGATGATGCCGTTGGTCTGGTCGCCTGGTCCGCCCTGGGGTTGAGACAGGGCGTTCATGCCATCGGTCAGGGTGCGCGTCGCCGTCGAAACGTTGGTTAGGGCGCGTGCTTGGGGCGTGACAAAGTACTGGAAGGGTTTGTGGGAGGGTATGTAGACTAGGCCAAAGTCCATGAGGCTCGGAAGCATGTCTTGGCGCTCTTTGCTGAGGGCTTCGGTGTCGTAGACTTCGTCGAGCTCGAGAATCGAGAGCTGGAACAGGAAAGAGAGCATATCCGTATGCTTGGCCGTCTGCTGGTCGGTCGCGTCGAGCCACAACAGCAGCAGAGTCCAGACTTGGGCGTTTTCTTCTTGCAGCAGAAATGTAAAGCCAGCCTGCGTGATTGTGGTGCTGCCGCCTTGACGCTTGACGAGCTGGCCGGCGAGGAGCAGCTCCTTGACGGAGTTCTTAGGACCGCCGCTGTCGACGAAGCCGGGCGTCACGCTGTTGACAATGTAGTGTAAAATGGCGTCCCATTTCTGGCGTGCGTGTTTCTCGATCGACTCAATCGTGATTTCGGGTGAGCGGGGGTGCGGAGAGATCACGCCGAAGGAGCCTGGTGCTCCGTTGCCTTCGAGGGCCTCGCGATAGGACTTCGAAAAGTTGGCTGTGAGCTGTATCATTTGCGGAGCGCCTTGTGTTGGAACAGACATTTGTAGCATGTGTAGACTGCGGAGTTGTGCGAGAGCATGATCTTTGGCTCTGCTTGGGTCAGCGGTGCAACAAACAATCCTCGACGGTGCGCGTACCTCTTGTACTCGGGCTTCACGCGTGCCTCGAGGTCTGCTATTGGTATTGGTCCGGGAAGATATAGAAGCATCGTCACAAATGTCTTGGCTGGGGCAACGTCAGTCCATAGCCGGTGGTCAGAGGCCTTGGTGTCCTACCTAGTGGTGACAACATGCGTCTTGAGATGCATAATGCCGTGGAGGGGTTCAGGTACAGCTTTCTAAACGTTGTGCCGGGCAGCTTCTCCAGGTAGTCGGCCAGCTGGAGCGACTTCGTCAAGCCAGCCGACATGATTGCCAGAACCGCGCGAAGGGCGGTCTATACTGTGTCTATTGCCGCTAAGCGATTGATGTTGTATTCGACGGCACCTCGCTGTGTGCTCACGCACGTGGAATTCGCGTTCCTCGTCTCGATCGTTGGGGAAAGTAGGTTGACTGTGGTGTAAAGAGTCGAGCAATGATAAGGTTATGTTGCAATGCCTGGTTTCTTCGTTCTGATAGCTTGGCCGACATACTTGACGTGGACAACTGCGCTTGAAATAATTGGACAGCAAGTCCGTCCTCCGAGACTTATCGTGGTCTGGAAATCATCATCGAAGCTTGAGCTCACGACGCTTATCGAGAGACCCTGCCTTATCGAGGAGAGCGTTCTTATTGGTCATCCTCTGCAGCCTAAGGGGCCATTCATGCGCTCACGTGACGCGAAGTACCGAGGTCAGATATGCCGACCGTTATCCAGCTTATCGCGGCTCTTGTCGGGGCTCTGACGTCGCCCTCACGAAGTTCATCTGGAGCAACGAGCAGGAGCATAGCGTTTTGCTGACATTGCACATCGTCTCTGCGTTTTTGGGAAGATCAATTGGTTTCTTCTCCTGCTTAGGGCTTCACGAAACATATTACGACGCCATGCCGCCACGCCTGACGCCTCTGCGCTTCGTGCGCTCCGTATGTCCGACAGATGCTAGCTCATGTCTGTCTAATTGACCCTGTCCCTAACAAGAGCGCAGGTTATGAACTCTTTCACCAAGGACTCAGGCCTTGAGCCGAGGTATATGACCCTCTCCAAAAGTTGCTTGATAATTCAAATACTGATCGTCCCAGGTTGCTTGGCGAACACGTCCGTGACTGCTCACACTGAGTGAGATCGTTGTCCTCGATTAACAGCTGCCCAGTTTCGAGTCACCAATGCGACCAATGGAACCGTCGACTTTGAGCTCGACATCCAAAAGCAGCACACGGTAAGCAACACCCGAGGGCTTTCTCGATTCTTTGCCCGTGCTCACAGCGTAGAACCGCCTCAAAACCATCCACGGCGGGACCCTTGCATCTCTTGTCGACCTGGGTGGCTCGCTTGCCGTGGCAAGCACTGGTCGTTTCGCAACAGGTGTCTCAACGGATTTGAACGTCACATACATCGCCCCTGGCGGTGTCGTTGGCGATCGCATGACTGGGCAAGCTGTCTGCGACAAAATGGGCCGCACTCTGGCGTATACGACCGTGAAGTTCTTCAACAAGAATGGTGAGCTGGCTGCGAGGGGTAGCCACACCAAGTAAGTCCGAGTCCGGAGGCATCAAGTCTGTTCATTGACGAGTATAGGTACGTGTCCAAGACATGGGAAAATGAAGATTATGTTGCCCCAGCCGAGTTTGTGGCACCTGAGGAGGAGCAAGTGGATAAAGACGAGCTCGGCACCCTGAACAAGACGATTACGACTGGTAGAGAGTCGTCCGGCGTCTGGGGGAGGTCGTGAGCAAATGGCTGCCACAGAGACATATACCAGACATAGATATAGAACTCATTATTGCTAGCAAACCTCTGCAATCGTTACTGGAATTATAAACCCTAAACGCCTCAAAATACGCCCGTTGTGTCGTTATGCATGTTGTGTCTGGATTCGTTCCGAACATCATCGTCAAGTCGTTGAGTCTTCAGTCTTGCACCATCACATAGATCCTCTGCCGGACTCAGAGCTTCCTGCCCAGCTCTCGGCTCGTGCACACTCTGGCAGTGCTGGTGCCACGATCATCTCTCCCTTGGGACCCTTCCTTACTGCCCAAGACTCGCTGTCTCTCTCTTTCGCCAGATTACACAGCATGATGAGTATGCCAAGCATAATCCATCGAATTACCGCTGTCAAAATGGGCTCCCAGACAGGGAACGACCGAGAAGTCATGTCCTTGTCTAGCAGCACCCAGAGTGCAGCTCTAGCAATGTCCCAGGAGAGAACAATCGACAACAGGATACCGCCAATCAAGGCAACTACGGGGGACTGCGTCAGGCATTAGCGACTGCTGCCGCTTGTGATCAGGGGGACGAGGAAACTGACTCTTCGGAGATACTTCCCTCTGCCACGACGAGTGCATGCAAACGCGCTGACTATCACCAAGCCCACGGTACCGATGAGAAGCAGCGCGGCGATCGCAACGAGCATGCGGTTGGCTGCGATGCGGTTGCTCCCGCCCTGTCCCTGAGTCGGAACGACAAACGGAGTCGAAGTCGCGTCATTATACACGGACCTGTCGGCGTCGACGGCAAGCCCAAACTGCGCGATGGCTAGAATAAGGAGGAGCGCGGTAAAGCAATGCACGGCGAGCCTTGCGAAACGGGGACGGCTAGTGCGGCCGCCCGCCTGAGGAATCTGGATGGCGAAGAGGAGTTCCCAAATAGTGCAGAGTAGTAATGACTGGGCGATCAGCAGCATCCATGTCGATATTTGCGCAAGGATAGGCGCTGTAAGATAGATGTTCCGTCGCCAATCTGTGTCGGAGTCCCTGTTATTTAGATGCTCAATCTCGTAGCCGCATGCTGCAGTGTAAAGGATTGTCCACCTGCGAGAGGGTCAGCATAGGAGCCCGTGGTTTCTACAAGTTGGCCGTACAGTGAATATGTGACAAGAGCCGCTCGTAGAAAGAATACCCATGGCTTTGTTGGGTCCCTTTTGAAAGTTCTCAGACGGAACGATAGGAAGGTAAACACGAGGGCTGGAATGATGGTTAGGCCAGTCAAAGCTGTAGCAATGATGGAGGCGATGCGTGTAAGTGCCATCGTCTGGTGCCTGGCATGTACGATTGACCGACTTCTGGACTACGTGAGTGCTGCACACGGTCGTTACAGGCTGGGGCTTGCTGCTCCTTATTAGTATGAAACCCAAACTTCCCTCCAAGAAAGCCAATAGCTTGTGTGTCCGCCAATGGTCCATTTATCCTGCTCTGCGTGTTCATTGATGATGGCCCGCTCGTCGTGGGTGTATGACTGCCGACGCCGAGCTGACGTTGGCCAAGCTCTGACCTCATCGTTGGTCGGGCTGTGACACTCGTTAACGTCGGGCGAAGCCCGCTAAGAGCTTGGAGCTTGGAGCTTCAGCTGGCCGAGTCCACTTCCGGAGCAAAGCGGCTCGGCGCCAACAAATATGCGTAGGCGGTTTTCGTGCCAAAGCTGCACGCAGTAGTCATTGCGTCAAGTAAGTGGCTTGCACCTACAAAATCCAGCGTTATAGTTTCTTGGTCGTTGTTCCGTCACGAGACAGGGTGGCTGGCTGTTCAAAATGTTAGCAGCAGCCAAGGAAGTTTGTACTGGGCATGTCTCACTACGTTCTTCTGCGGCTCTCCTCGGGTCGCGATGATTCATGATCGGTCCGTAGATCATGTATGCGCATCTACTGAGGACAGACCTGCGGACGTCGCAAAACGTCTTGGGGCTGAAAGAATAAGACTGAATTGGCCTGCGAACATATATTCTTTGCAGTGCATCGTCACATATCAGACTTGAAGCCCTGGTCCAGATCTTCCAATCGAAATAGTGTATGGTAAACGTTTAAGAGTTCGTTTTCTCTGTCTCAATCCTTGTTATGACTTGCAAAACGGCCTATGACATCAGATGCTAGGGTAGTCTTATTATTGTCTGGCTCGATGTAACTAGCCGGCGTCTTAGTTGGGTTGCCATTGTGATACTTGGACACAATTAGTCAGGTTGGAATCAGACAAGAGTTAGGGTTCATGGGCCGTGAGACCACACTGCATAGGTAGTTTTAGAGCTGTTCCAAGGGATGCCAAGCATAGAATAGATAACCTGAAGATGAGCACTGATGAGAGGATTAATATACATAGATATGCACCCCCTTGAAATCTCGATGAGCATTAATTCCCTTCCAGGTTAGTCGTGAAGAAATATTAGGGGACCCTGCGGGTTCCCTGCGGAGTCGCCAGCAGGGGGGTCGGCTAGGAGGCTAAGGGCTACGAGAAACGTATATATAGGCTACGGAGGGCCCTCTAAGCTGCGGAGGGCCAGAATTCAGATATATTACGACCCCCGACCTATCTTCTTATCTGCTACGGACTACGTATAGAAGACCTCCTCACTCTGCTCTAACTAACGCTCTGACAAGAAAACGCAGCCATATATCTATACCATTATTGTCGTTTCCAAGGCAGCTCCGTCGCTGCAAAGTACCGTCCGCCATCGACGACCTAATTATATAGCTAAAATCCACTCTAGATGCATCTGCCATTTGAGCATGCCAAAATGCATGGTTCAAAGCATACGATGCGAGCGCGGGATAAGCTTCTAAGACCTGGGACTCCAAAGACTCAACGTAAATCCTCTCCTTTTGTAAACATTGTGCTCGTCTTCCAGTGGTCCCATGTGTCCTTCTGACTCATGAGAAGCGTCGCTGACCGTAATCCAGGACTCTTGTGAATGGAAGCACGATGCTGATGATCCGAAGCTAATAATACTTGGTTGACGTCTGATTTGACTGCGGCTCTCCCCTATCCATTTTTCCCTAGCTGTAACAAATTTGTCGAGTTCAGATATTCGAGTAAAAGCAAGGCAGGTACGCAAGATGGCAAGGTGACCTTGTCCAGAAAAGTCATATATCGTGTCTTTTCCGAAGAACCGGTTCGCATCATGGCTCAAAAACAATTCGGCCACACTTTCATGGACAAGCTATACCACTCGGCCGTCTCCTGAAGTGCTGTCAAGTGAGCCGGAGCTTGCGAGGGACGTTACATCGTCATACGGCGCGTTCATAAGTTCTTCGTCAGATCTGATTTCTAGTAGACCCTGCGAAAGACTTCTGATTTGCCGTACCAGCTGAGAAGCTGTCTATGTGCAGTGCTCGGATCTATCCCATTCTTTCAAGGACTTTGGAGGATCTGGTCGAAGAAAGCCAGGATATGATGCCATTCACGGAGTCGAAGGCGGCTTTGAGCGAGGATGGTCCACTGAAAGAGCTGTAAGACAATGTCAACATCCCCTTCGTCGACTTGTCCTAGGATAGCTGTAAAGACGTTTCTTAGGCAGGGTCGAAGAGACATAGCCTGATTGACAACGTATTTCGGGTTCCTGCCTTCTTCAAGATCTCGTAAGGCTTCATCCACAGCTAGAACGACCTAAAGGAATACTCCGTCAGCTTTTTCAATAATGTAATCGCGGACCTGAGCTAGGTCTTCTTTTGGGATATCTGATATCAGAGCGTTAGGTAGAGCAGAGTGAGGAGGTCTTCTATATATAGTCCGTAGTAGATAGAAGATAGGTTAGGGGTCGTAATATATCTGAATCCTGGCCCTCCACAGCTTGGAGGGCCCTCCGTAGCCTATATATACGTTTCTCGTAGCCCTTAGCCTCCTAGCCGACCCCCCTGCTGGCGACTCCGTAGGGAACCCGCAGGGAACCCGTAGGGTCCCCTGACATCTGAACTGTCAAGCCTGAGAATCGTGTATTGCTTGATGTCTTCAAGGTTGCATGATTCCATTTGGAATACATGTGAGCCGTGGGGCATTGAAGTCAAGTTATCATGAAGGGATAAGCAGACAATCAGCTATACCTTGACATCTCGAGCAGAGTCTATCAGTGATAGGAAGAAGATTTCCAACTCGCGAACAGTCATTGAGCTGTTTTCGTCTAGAGAATTAATGAAGATAATCGCCCGTCTTGGGGAGAACTTTCGATTTAAGAAGATGTGTATCATGCGTTTCCCGAGAACGTGTTTCCCGAGAGAGGCTGCAGAGCCACGATGAATGCGTGTTCGCGAAATTACAGGGTCATCGTGTGCCTTACCCTGCAATGCCCCAATACATGCTGGATGCTAATAACAAAGCTGCTAGATCACTGAGCGGAGCATTCCTTCAACAGAATGCTCAACTCCTTGTCCGCGACGGTTGAAAAAGTGTGCAACTACACATGCATCTTGTTGATCAGTGCGCAAGAGTTCGAAGCTGCGTTTCATCAGAGTCGACTTGCCTGAGCCAGGCTTTCCGAGGAGTCGTATCAGGCCACGATGTTGGTCAACATCCTTATCCTGTGTCCAAGGCCCGAAGACTGAGCATTTTGCTAGCCACATACAAGTATTTTGCACCGGCTCATCAATGCTTAGCCGCCGAAAATGCATTTCCGGAAACGCGTAGAAATTGAGGGTTGCTGCTTGCCAGTTAGCGAGTTTCGGAGTGTGAAAGGTAAAAATCTTATGATCTGGTGAGCGAACCCTTTAGTGCAATATTGAAAATTGGGGTTTTTGGCGATGGGTCAGTGTCTTGGAGTGTCATCTGGGATGCAGTTCAATCGAATGGCCAGACGTGGACCTTATGTACGATGCCGTCGTAGATCTCGATTAATTCAGCCGCCAACTTTTGGTAGTTCGGATCGCTGCACGACGAGAACCGGCAGATTGACCTATGATCACCGTCCAAAACTTCTGCCCGTTCTCGCGTATCCCCAAGACATGATGAGACGTCTGGCACAACCTGTGTTCTCTGAGGTCAGCGCGAAATTCTCTTCAGCGATCTTCCCACACTGAGTTACCTTTGACATCATGGATTGTCCAAACCTAAGTGGTAGCTTTAGGGGCAATCCCTCCTAAAATGTCTTGACACGAAAGTTGTACTTGAGCCAGAGTGCAGAGAAAGCATCCTGGCATCGCTCCAGGTCAGAATTCTTGAGGCATAGACTGCGAAGAATCCGCGCATTAGTATCCATAAGGACGAAACTAGCCAATTTCCGCGAGATCTCCCCGACATTCGCAGTCCAGCTGCCTCGATGCGGGCTGCCGATGAAGACAATGCCGACTATATCGTTGAGAAATTCCGTGGCCGCGGGGTAGGGCGAACTGGAACATAATGCCAAGGTCTTGAAAACGATCAGCAACAGCCCATAAACTCAATGACTTGACGTTGGAGTACCTCTTTTAGTAAGATTCCGCCAAGGGAGTGGGTTACGAAGATCACGGGCCTTCGTGGCGGTTTCTTGCGCCATAACTCCTGAAGGAGATCCTGCTGTGAGTGAAGATGCTGTTCTGATTCACTCCTCCTGCCTGATGTGGGTTTACGATGACTGTGTTGTAGCCGAAGACCATAATCCGGGCTTTTGAGCAGTCGTTTGGAAGGAAGTCGCTGGGCCAGAAAGGTTGGGACGTCTGCTCATCACCACTGACGGCCGAATGTGGCTCAGTAGACTTCATGCGTGAAAGGAACCGCTTCATCGTTGATGCGGACTGACTGCCCCCCTGGCTGTTTGATTGCCACGAAGTCCCCTCCCCTGCATCGACTTTTGCCGCCGAAAGTACCCGCTGGGTTGACCTCGCCGGCCCATGTTTTGAATGGATGGCCTTGCAGTCCATGGATCAGAATGATGCTGTGCAGCTTGTTAGCGGAATCCAACAACGCCTTGATGACAGACTAAACATAGGGTTACGTACTCAATTACTGGTTCACCTATGGGCTGATATACCACAGATAGTCCTGAATCTGCTGTCATCGAGCTTAGCTTTTGATGCGAATAGGTGTGTGGTGGGACCAACTTGGCATCTTCTTTCCGTTGCTGGCCGCCCGCACCCCAGCCTCAAGCATAGCCGGGGGCGATATGCAAATGCTCATGGCGTCGTCGTTGTCCATAGCTCTAGAGTGGTTCCACTTACGACGAAAGAACAAGGCCCAGTGTCATGCCATAAGTGTTGGGCTAGGTTCCTGGAGATGGATGACCAGGCTCCGGGCTGCGGGGGTCTTGTGATGGCAAAAACGAAGTATCACGTGTCCATGCAAGGTGGAGGAACTGACCTATCAACACCTGAATGAACGAGCCGCTGACATGAATCTGATTGAGGGACCAGCGGTGAGCGCCGTGCTGCTTGAGGTCTTCGGCCGTCAGACAGATACACAGGTACCATAGGCTACGTTGCCTTACCTACCTTACCAAGGTAATACAAGGTGCATCTCCAGCGATGCTGTTCAGCGTCTGACAAACGAGACGGAGCATCTTGACCTCACTTGGCGCCATTGACAGCCCCAAACCAAGCTCTCTTGCGTTCTCAAAGCGTATTTTTGATATCTTGGTTAAAGATCTTGATTATTGACATCTGATAGAGCCTACTTTCTAAGCTCCCGTCGTCTTGTACCGTATTCTCATTATTTGCGTCTTGGCGTAACATTCCCATAAGAGTTCAGCTGCAATGGAGGATGCATCTATGCTGGAGATCTACTGTCTGGACTGAGCCGATTCATCTCCTCCGCCTCCTCACCAGCAACACCTTCATAACCCCAGTCTCCGCTTGACCGGAGTCCACCCCTTTTCAACGAGGACACAAATCCAAGGACGAGCGCCGCCACGGAGGGAAACCCGACGTCTATCAAGACATCCATATTCGCCGATAAAGGGCCAGGAGCCACGGGATCGATCTCGTATGCGAACGCAAAAAACATGTTCCACGTGCTCCTAATAAGGATGAGGAACGACGCCACGAGACAGTACAAGGCAAGCTAGACAGTTAGCATTCACTCCCCAAGTACGGCGAGACAACCTACCTTGTCGAGCCCGGCCGATTCCTTCGTCCTCCTCCACGCGAACACACCAGTGCTACAGAGCACCATGGCCTGCATGGAGCTGATGAGGTCATATCCAACCTGCCACCTCGTGGCCGTCTGCGCAACATTGCCGTCCGCGCCCTCGGCCTTGGTGCCCGCATCATACGAGTTGCTGTTGCCCCTCGCCGCCTGGGTGAATCCGAACCGGAGCACGGCGAATGCACACAGCCCGGCGGATAGGCATCGCACCAGATCAAAGACCTTGCCGTGCGTGAAGGGTTCCTGCCAGACGTAGTTGACGGCTGCCAGCAGCGCACCGGCGTAGAACAGCAGGGCAACGGACATGAGGGCTGTGCCGAGGTTTTTGGCCATTTCGCCGACATCGCGGAGGCGCATGAGAATCTCGGCAAGGGAGGCTGTGGCGGGGCCGTGGATGTTGGGGGTCGTCGAGGCTAGGTGGGAAAGCGTCAGGGTGCTTATCGCGAGGAAAACATTGGCGCTGCAATTTGCCGGGTTAGCTGGTGCGAGGGGCGGCTGAGGGGTTCAACGAGAGGAACACGTACAGCGCGAAGGCGAGAACGCCATGTTTCGCCCAAGGAACGAAGCGACGTGTCGGGTCCTCATCGCGGGGTACGGCGAGGAGCAGGTAGATGTAGGCACTCGAGAGAACGACAGCGAGGATAGGGTAGATGGTCGTGGCGAGGAGTTGCTCCTCTGCGGGATCCTCGGTGAAAATGCCGTCGGAGACCATGGCATTGATTGGAGGCTAGCGATACATTGGTGGCGAGTGCGCCAATGCGACGTGTGTCGATGTTATCGAGGTCGAGATGACGAGTGCTCGCGTTCAGAAGTTGACACAAGGGCCTCGATCGTGCCTCTGAAGCACTGCCAAGAGCGGCCCGGGACTCCGAGCGCCGTGGAGCCAGAGTGCGTCAACCTGGCACGAGGCAGACATGTATGTGCATTTGGGCCTGTAATGACCACTCGAGGCCTGCAACTTGTGATCAAAGGTACTGCATGTCAACGAATGTGATTCTGAACATTCGTCGTTACATGTTGTCCCGACATCGATTCGGTCATGGCTGCGATCCAGATTTGTTGGTGAAGGCCAACCTGTGGAGATGCAAGTGGGGAAGACGAAGGAAGGCCTGGCCGCTTGCTGTAAGGTACCGACAGAAGGATCCAGCAGCTAGAGAATACCCCGAGAGCACTTTCCCCTGAAGCTTGTTGAATTGACGGAGCGAGAGGCAGTCACCGAGGCAGCCACTGCCAGAATGACCAGTCTGTTGGGTCAGGCAGGAAGACGGGCAGAGCTACGATACTTGGTCTTGGCAGGTACCTGAGGGGCCTGAGGTAGGTACCCCCACGGTACCATCATTACAACTGGAAGTCACGTCCTGCCACGGGCCAAAGGGAAGGCAAGACAGACGATCCCACCACAACCCCTCACTCTTGTCGTTCATTCTGTCGTCCGCGTCTCGGAACGATGCTTGGGCAGCCAGGCAACCCAGCGACCAAGCAGCAGCCAGGGATAGTCGATCAATTCTTCCACGTGCAATGCGGTGTCGTGAGACGCCTTGCCTTGCTCGGTACTGGCCTCTGATCTCATTCCCAACGTCCGACAAGTACGACATCAAATGCCAATTCCAATTGTGCTTGCAGAGGGCCGGTCCATCGGCGCCATTGGGAATAAACCGCGCACGTAAGCAGCGAAGGGCGCTCTCTGCAAAGCACGGCCACCTTTACCTTCGGTTCACAGGTCAGCAACGATTAAGGCATCTATTGGGCAGGAAAGATGTCCGGTCGGTGCGTCGCCCAAGTGGACCGCCGCCGCCTTACGGTGGGCTGGACATAGTGGACGACGAGGACAAGGACAAGTGGTGGTAGTACGGCGTTGACCGCTAAGACACGACAGGGGCCGCGAGCCGAGCCTGGAGGGGCAGCGCAAGGCAGAGAGAATCGGTGCCCGACGTCATCGTTGCAGGCGGTCAAGACAAGCGGCAGGGTTGGTGCCGGCGACGGGCTGCGCGCCAACGACGGGATGGCCCCGGGACTTGTGTTGGTGTCGTGTTGCGCGCTGGTCTACTGGCGCTGAAGACATGGTGCCTACCTACGCTCAACAAGCTCTGATGCCGACCCTCTAAAAGACCCCGAAATGCCACATCCAAGATACCACATGTCGAAGCCGCCCAGAACATCCCACACGCCGCACCAGAGGGTCAGTCAGTCAGCACTGTGCCAGGGCATGGGGGGCGATCTCCCGGATGGAGCATCCAGGGGCACAGAAGACACTGCTGCCCGAGAGGCGAGTTTGGGCATGTTGGGTTGGTGGTGAAAGGCAGAAGAGGCTAGACCCTGGCGGCTGTCATGGACGAGATGGGGAAAAAGAACGACAGCCGCTGGGATGAAGGGTTGTAATTTGAAAAGGTATAATGAGGGTCGCGATGGACTCAAGCAGGGAGGACCTTGTCTGCCGCCTCGCACGTCGCCGCCCGTGGCATGACTCGCTGGGCATTCTGTTAGGGATTTCCTCAACAGCCCGCAGTGTCTGGGTGGGAGCATTGACAGCAGCACTAACACTTATGCCCCCCCTGCTGCGCGTCCAAGATCCCCCACCTCTAACCTCAATCGTCGTCATCAAAGCCGGTTTCCCCTCCATTGTCGACCAGCGAGGCCAAGTCCCGTCAATCCAGAGGTTTGTCGACATCGTATCCCGGGGCCTGGAACCATCTCATCCCATCTCCTCGCCTTGGGCTTCTCGCAAATACAAAACCATCTCTCCCCCCCACAAGTTCAGATCGATCATCTGACCAGCCCCCTCCATTTCCACCGTCTGGACAGGTCCTTCTTTGCCTTTTTAATACTGCTGTCTCTTGTCGCCAGAGACAGACACTCGCCCACAGCAACCCAGAAACGAGGGCGCCAACCACAGCCCCCTCCATCACAGGCCAACGTCACCTGAGAGGGGTCACGGTCGCAACGACAGACCAGCCAACAACCTGTGATATCACCCGGCACCGCCATTCCACACCCACACCCCCCAATTAGCCAGTCGCCATCCATCTTTGGCCCTCTGCCACCGCCGTCAAATCACATCTCACAGCTCTGGTTCTCTCTCTGTTCCAGGCGTCGTTTCCACTTTCCGCCACAACATCGGATCCAACTTCCCACTTGATCCGCCCCGAGATTTGCGTCATACGTCTCTCGGCTGCCACCACTGCATCCACATATCGCAGTGATCCCGTCTTTCCAAGAATCGACATTGACTGTCATTTGACCTCCATCTGATTCGCAAACCAACATCGACAGCAACCCCTTTTTTGTTGCTTTCATTTATCGATCATCGGAATCGACTTCTTTCAGGAGACTTTGTCTACCTGTTTCCATCACCGCTTTAATACCCGTTCCTTCAGATTCGAAAACTCCAACCATGGCCAACCGCTGGGACCGCGATCGCTTCGCCTACGAGCGAGAGCGAGATCGCTTTGATGACCGGCCACCTCCCCCTGGCCGCTTCGAAGACCGACCGCCTCCTCGATTTGACGATCGTGACGATGTCTACTCTCACGCGCCTCCTCCTCGCCGCCCTCGCGAACATTCTGACGAGCGATACGACCGCTACCCACCTGCTCGCCCCCCTCCTGGCCGAGGCTTTGATGACGATCGTGACTTTGTCCAAGACCGTCGCTACTACGGCGATGACGACCGTCTTCCCCCGCGCCGCGATGACCGGGATGTGGAGCGCCGCGTCTACATTGACCGTGAGAGGGAACGATACGCCAGCCCTTCGCCTCCCCGCCGACCCACAATGGTCCGCCGTCAATCATCCCTAGACACCTTCGACCGCCGCCCGCTGCATTTCCTCGACCGAGAGCCTCGTGAAGAGTATGGCCAGATGACGCGTCGCGAAGATTTCCGACGGGAACGTGAGCGTGAGGAATTCCGAGCGCCCCCTTACCAGCCGATTCCTCTGCCTCGCACCCGCCAGCTCGGCCCTGCCCGACCAGCACCCTACGATGACATTTCAGTTGCCGAACCTGGCTACTACGGTGACGAAGAGTTCCGCACCATGCCGGAGCGTGTGCGCGAACGGGAGATTATCCGTGACAAGTCCTCGAGGCGGCGCCGCGATCGCAGCCGCGAGTCGAGAACCACAAAGACATACTCGCACCGCGGCAGTTCACGATCGAGCAGCACCAGCAGCCGCACGTCGAGCGACAGCGGCGGCACAGCCGTACGCAGTGAGTACCCGAAGAAGGGCAAGACGAGAATCCCCGCCCGACTGGTGTCCAAGAGGGCACTGATTGAGCTGGGATACCCGTTCATTGAGGAGGTAGGTTCTTCTTGCTGATCGCCACTTTTTGCTCCTTTGCTGACCACTCAGGGCAACACTGTTATTGTACTCAAGGCTCTCGGCCAGGACAATATCGATGAGCTGCTCAAGCTCAGCGAAGAGTTCAAGAAGGGTATGTAGAGCGTCATGATGACACTACGAATGGACGCTAACCATTAGCAGGTGAGCTGGAACTTCTCGAGGAACGCCGCGAGGAGGTTCTTACCATCGCTCCACCTCCACCTCCTCCGGCACCCGTCGTCGTCGCACCCCCGCCAGCGCCAGCTCCCGGTTGCTACACCTGTACCAGTCGCCACAACACCAGTTCCACCACCTGCCCCTGTCGTGGTCCCTCCGCCCCCCGTGCCCGTTGTTGCACCGGCTCCTCCGCCCCCAGCGCCTGTCTACTACGAGGCGCCGCCTCCACCGCCGCCCCCAGCGGAAGTTGTTTACGACCGCACCGTCATACGCGACGTTTCGCCCACTCGCTCAGTTTACTCTTCCGCCTACACTGATTCGGGTGTTCCTCTCTACCACGAGCACCGCGAAATGTCATCCGAGATCCCGGTCGGCCCCATGGCTCTCGCAACCCGCCATCGCTCTCAGTCCCGCTCTCACCGCGAGATTCGTGCCGAGATCAAGGCTCTCGAGGCTGAGATGCGCGAGACCCGCATTTCGAAGCGTCACGAGCACCGCCACGACCGCGACCGCGAGATCGTGCGCGCCGAGCGCATGCCCGACGGCGCCCTCGTGCTGTTCGAAGAGAAGGTCGAAAAGGTCGAGCACGGACACCGGCCGGCGAGGATCGAGAAGGACAAGAAAGGTAGGATGGCCATCAGCATCCCGAAGAAGTACCTCTAGGTGCGGCGTGCTTTTTTTCTCTCTTCTCGAACATCGGGCACGACCGAGACACGACAGTTACTGATGCTTTCTCTTCGGCAGGGCCGTCCCCGGGGTTGATGAGAGCCATGCTTGCTACTCTGACATGAGATGTTTTGATTTCGAAGCGGCCTCTGCAGAGGTGTCCAGACAAGACAAATTGAGGTCTTGTGAAGGTAGTACAGAAAATGTTCTTTGACGTCCTAGAATGACTCTGTCTGGAAGAGCACGGTCGTGAAATGTTGAATACTGGACGTGGTGGATATTACGTTTCGGCGCTGTTCTTGGGTTTTTTGGCACGCTGGGTTCGGGAAAGGTATCTTAATCACCGTACTGTAGAGGTGTATACGAATTATGACTTGTACTCTGTTCGGATGGGTGATGCGATGTTGCTGTTATCAAGGATCTGTCTAGCCATTGAGGGTTACGCGCCCCCCAAGCCAGTCAAGGGAGACAATTTCCAGCTCGTGCACGTCACTATTTGGGAGAACGACAGGCGAATAGAAAGTTTGCACAGGCAACGGAACGAGGGACGCAAAAGCAAAATCAGGCGCTCATAGAGCGCTCACGTACCACACACGACGAGGGCAGGATTCGAACCTGCGCGGCCGAAGCCATATGATGACATGCCTGGCGCCCTTGTAACAAGAGGACCAGGAAACGGTTCGAGTCATACCCATTAACCACTCTGGCACCTCGCCGATGAAGAATAATGTCCGGTCGAGGGGACCTAAGTGGGACAAGGGCATGGGACGGTGCCTGGGCTGGGGGAGCGAATGGGGCGGTGGGGGGCTTGTGAGGGATTTGGGAATGTGTGGAGTTTTGTGGATGGGATGTGTCTTGGGAACTTTTGGGTGACGAGGGAGTGTAGGTGGAAGAGGATGGGAGGTTGGCTGGCTTGTTTGTTACCGTGGTTCTTGCGTTGAGGGGGTTTCATTTCGCGTTGTAGGCTCGATCGATGGTGTCTTTTTGGGCTTGACACGTTAATCAACTCTCGCCTTCTAGTTGTCGCGTTGCTTCGACCAAAAACATCATTCATCAGCCGTTTCTGGCCTGGTCAAACCGCACACAGCCTAATCCTTCCAAGAATGTCGCAGGAAGTGAAGGCTAGGGTTCAGCAAGCCATATCGCCTTTTGGACGACGACGCAGCGACTCGTCCGTTACAGTTATGCGACGCCTTCGGAAGCCGCCTGAACAGGTTTCAAAGCTGGATGGATCCTTCACTATGGTGATAAACTCCCACCCGGATAGCTTTCGCACCACGCCCCTCTATAGCCGCCGCCAAGACGTCATTACCGATATCTTGATGGTGAGACTGCAGACGTTCGAAAGAACGGCCTCCACAGCCTTGAGGGTGTCATCTTTGCCTCGCATCCCGTCATTGTCGAGAAATTGCAGGTTTAAATTGAAACCCCAGCTGGGGGATCGGGAACAACACCTCTTCACTACTATACCCTGAATTGTTCCATCGCGGAAAATGTCTGTACTCACAATCGTTTCGAAGAACTTCTCGGTGACCTTGACCAGAGTTACGGGACAACGCAGATTCAGATGGCCGCTGCGAATATATTCGAGGTAGATAGCGAAGACTTCATGCTTCGGAGTTAAGTGGAACTAGCTTACAGACGATCACGATGAAGATCTCATAGGAAGCCCCGTTGGCTACGCTGCATATCGTCAAGCATCCGGACAATACGACTCCGCGAGAGCAGATCTTGGCAAATCGAGAGTTCCAGATGCACTACAGATGACATTTCGAAAAGGCCTCGGGACAACAGACGATCGAGGAAGGTAGATAGCTCTGGTGTGGTGGAGGCGGATGTCTCGTACCGTATTTTCCCCTGTGATGCATCCTTCTTGAACCAAACAAGAACTCTAGCTTGAAGGAATCTAAGCGTAACATGAGCTGCTTCTATACACGAATTAAAGCACCGCGCGACTTGCGGTCACATCTTTCCTGTGCGCTAAGTGCTGGACCTCGGATGAGACACAATCACGGTAGATTATTAATGATGGAGGTAATTTTCCTGAAAAAAAGACACTCACCAAGGGTTACCTGGAGTATCCGCAGATGGCATTTCACTCATCTAAGACAACATAAGGTACTACACATCGCAAAAGTCCCAGAGAGTTCGGACAAGTCGGTGCGCCAGAAACCATGTCAACTGTGCACACATACCAGGTTTGCATTCACATGTCAGTGTTACATAACAATGTCAAGACACAAATCATTTGCGAGCTCAAAACTTTGATAACGACAGAACTAGAGTAGGAACAGAGAAACTTCCGCAACGTGTCAGCAGTAATGACTGTCAAGAACCAAGATCAAATAGCAACCGACCTCTCAGCCCCAATCACCAAACCCTCACCACATCCACCGCGATTCAATCACCACGTTTTCTCCAACGCCCAAGTGCAAGCCAACGTAACTTGAACTGCTGTTGCGAGCCTGCAAAGCTGCCTCAGAGGTTGGAGCAGGCCCTCTTGATGGACTGGATGCCGAAAAGCTCGTTGGCAAGGTTGACGAGGGCAGTGCCGCCGATTCGAAGCCTCTGCTTCTTGGTCTTGGCACGGACGAGAAGCAGGACCGTCTTCCTGACGCCACCGAGCTTCTTGAGGTACTTCTTGATTCTGAGCAACTTGGCGGCGGGAATAAAAGTCGTGGCGATGGTCTTGGTGATCGCATAGATGCACCTAGCGACCGCGAGGGGCCCGCGAGCCTCGAGATCACTGCGCTCAAGGATGGCGAGCGAGGTGTCCTCGCTGCGGGCCGAGATGGGGGCGCCGTCGTCCCTCTCCTCCTTGACGCTCTTGTCGCCGTCGCGGAAGCCGTTCTCAATGAGCCAGGCGTTGGTGGCATCGTCTCCCTTGAGGAGGACCTCGTCGGGGATGGAGAAGATCTCGGTAAGCGCCAGCTCGAGGGCGAGCTCTGTCTCCTCGGTCAGGCTGACCGTGTCAGCAGCGCCGCGGGCAGTGATGTCGCGTTCCTCGGCGGCCTCGGAGACCACCGGGCTGGCGATGGCCAGGGCGGCGAAGACGGCGGCGGTGAAGAGCTGGAACTTCATGTTGATGGTAGATGTTGCTCGACGTGATAGCCAAGTGTTGGTTGAAAGAAGTGTGAGTCTGAAGGATCGTACTGGAGCTTTTGCTCTGAAGTAGAGAGTGATGAAGAGGATGATAGTGAGGATGATGAACCAGAAGAAAGACAGCGAGGAGAACTGTCGAGCTCATATTTATAACTTCTTGACCTCGCTTGATCATCTTCACATATTCACTTGTTGAAGCGCTTCAACCTCAACCCCTGGAATCACGATGTCGCGAACTCCGAAGGTTGGCAAGGCATTTTTGCTCATTCTCTCCATTCAGGCTTGTCTCGCTTACGAGGAACGAATCATATTCAGCCTGAGGCATATCAGGGATGGATGATTCGCGTGATGCTTCCATCGACATGTGTTTCTTCCGCACTCACCCCTGAAAGGGCTGGGTCGGCTTACAATTCGCACCAGGCTCTGAGGCTGCAATGGCGATTCTTAGCCCCCATCATCTGGGACCCCTGCATCTCGCTGCAAGAAACTTGGCTGGGAAAATAAGCATTGGGGGCAGCATGAGTGTTATTTCCCTCTGAAGTTGCTGAACCGCTCGAAGAACATGGGGGATGCGGCGTCAGCAGTCGTTTATGCTCCCTCGCACACGCTTATCATGCGTTGCATTCTGGACTAGATCAGGGGCATCTAGACAGTGGTTGGTCTAGACTGAAGATGATGTGCTTCCCAAACGAAGAAAAATATGCATTTTCAGCCTTGCTGGGGGAGCTAGCGAATGCTTAATTTTGAGTGCGCTACAGAATCGGCAGCCATCACTCGGAAAGGAGTTTGGGGGCCGGAAGACCAGAACACGGCGGAAAAGTAGATGCAGGACAGGTGAAATGGAGAGCTTACCGCTTCTTCAACATTTGTTTTCGTCTAGCGCCGTATTGCTAGTACATGAGAGATTAAAGTTCAAATATGTTGTCGGCAGGTTCCAACAGCGACTATGCTATGACCTCGTTCTTCCAGATCGACAGATACACCTGTCATGGTCAAGGAAGCTCTCGAACCGCCAGGGCTATGATCGGCCAGGTACCAGGCACACTTAGCTGCCGACAGATCGAGTGGCTGATGTTCCAATCACATAGAAAATAGACACACAGCGTCGGCCGCAAGGCAGACGACTGAGCGGCACGCCGCTTACCACGGGAAGGCTTGAAGGCGGCCGCACCCCGCCCTTGCCATGACTACCCGCTACAAGCGAGCGATTCAGCGCCACGTTCATGTTAAGCTTATGTGTAAGGCTTGTTTTAATATGCAAGTCAAAGTCAGCCCGAAGCCATTCTCGAGCCTACTGTCGGTGCCAAGAAAATCTTACCCAAGGGCTGTGCATCTGGGGGAGCCTTATTTGCAGTGGAGTCAGCCTAGCCAATGGCGTGGCGTGAGCCTGCACTCTCAGCAATGGAAATCGGGCGAATCGACCCGAGTCTGACCATAGTTTTTATGACCGCTCCCAGACTACAGACGGCCAGCAAAGCATTTCTTCATCCCTTGACCGGATGTTACTTTCGTGATTCGGAAAACAGAGCGCGATGGAAGTTTGCTAGCCACTAATCTACACGGCAGTCGCTGATGCGGTGCTTCACATTGTGCCATTGGCAGGCAAGTCTACCGACCTATTCCCTGTGCGATCCGGCGTTTTCCCATTCAGCCACGCTTGATTTGGCATTTTCCTATGCTTCCTCACGCTGGTGGCAACTTGCTGACACCAGGCTGTTAATGCCACGGCGAATGGACTGGTGATTGCAGGAAAGTCAATTTGCAGAACCTACCTTATTCAATGACCGGATATTTTCACCGGTCTTGAGGGTTGTGCTCGTAAAGCTAATTAGAATCTCACCCTCCATTCGTGACTAATAAGCTAGGTTTTACTTCTCGATAAGCGAACCTTGCCTTGAAGACGCTGACGCCGCCCGGGCCGTCTATCGGAGAGGGAGAATGTGGATTTGTGCGACATCTACCAGTCCGCTCGGGCCTAGTTGGCAGACCTGCCGCTGGAACCGAAATCAAAGCCTGGTTATTTTACCCTAGCGTGGACTAACCCCCAGTGAGCGACGTATCCAAGGTTGAGGAGAAAATAGCGGAATACGGCATTCTAGCCTTAGTAGCTACATTCATCCTCTACACTACAGCCTCAGGGCGCCAAGTATTCCAGCCATACCCAAGCCACCCAAATACTAACACACAAATAGATAGAAGGGTATCACTATATTGCAGAGGAGTTTAACATTGCAGCCTGTTATCGCAACATTTCTTCAAATATATCACACCACCTTTCCAATGTTCTAAATGGTCAGGGGTACAAGGACAGTAGACGGACATTCACGTAACCATCTAACGTAATCATAGAAGCACGATTACCGTTCCGTCTTTCGTTGAAGAATCACGACATAAGAATCATGGCCAGGAAATCCCAAGATATTAATCACAGAACCGTGATCACAGACCAGGAAGACCATCACTCACATGACTAGAAGAGAGTTCAATGCACCGCCGTCGCGAATCCCAAGTTACTGGTGCTGCATCGCTCATGGAAGGGAAATATCCATCAAGAACGCCTGCCCACGTGTTGGTGCGTGGTATAGAGCATGGTGAAGAGGTCTTCCAAAAGGTCCACAGGCAATAGGATTAGGTTGAGGGTTGGAATACATCTGAATTCTGGCCCTCCATAGCTTAGAGGGCCCTCCGCGGTCCATATATACACGCTCTCGCAACCCTTAGCCCCCTGACTAGCCCTCTGTGCCGTGGCTTCGCAGGGGTCTCCTGACACCACGTATGGCACACCACGTATGGCACACCGGGCGCCACAGCCCCTGGGCTTCAGAGTATCGTCGAGTAAGCGGGATCGGCAAACTCAATAGGCTGAACTCGATAGAACGAACTCAAAGATGCCACTAGCGGTTCTTAAGTTTCCACGTTGTTTGGTCCGCTCGTGAAACCGGTATACCGTGATTGAGAGGGATCTAATAACGGGGTTGGGCCGAAAACAGGTAGTAATGTACATGGAATTGTCTGCCAACTGGCCCGTGCGCCTAAAGCTAAGCTTGCAGCATATAGGAATCAGTAGCTTTATCACGTTAGGTGAACATCTCAGGCCCATGCAATCCGCTGGGGAAAAGGTAGAAAGATTGCAGGCCCAAGAAGAGAGCTCATGCTGCCGTAGCTATATCGAGACAATCGGTTATAAGAGCATATCTAGGGGCGTAGTGTATGAAAGCATATATAAAAGAAATACTAGGTAGTGAAGAAAAAGTCCACTGATTTATCCACACCACAAGCTCGAGCCTTCGAGCACAACTTTCGACTATGCAAAATTTTGGCCCAAAAGGCAAAAACATACAACACTAGGTATTCACTAGTGGTCACCTACCCGACTACTGATTTAGCCCTTATATAGATCATGGTTCGGAGAAATGTCCTCTAAATATAGTAAACTTTTCTTTTAAGTATAGTAGAAAGGTCATGAACCTGCGGCCGGGTATAGTATATATTTTAACTTTTAGTACGGCTAATACTAATAATATCTAATAATTGTATATAAAAATCCTAATAGTAATAGCGAAGCCCGCTACTTTAAGTACTATACTTAATATCCTTAAGACTTTCTAAGCCCCCGCCTATTAATAAACCCCCTATCCAATTTAGGAAATTGCCTCGATCCTAAACTAGCTATTAAAGTTATACTTTTAACTACCCTTACTACTATATTAGAGAGTAAAGGAGATATTAGAAAGTTATATAATCTTTTATATATTTCCTAAGGAAATATTAATCTCCGATATTTCCTTAGCTTAGCTAATATAAATCAATATATACTTCTAGGCTTATAATATAACTATATCCTAACTTAGGCTAACTTATCGATAGAATAGACCTCTACTATTTAGTATTACTTTATAGAGCGGATAGATAAGCCCTTATCTACTTATTTTAAATAATTTTCCTTATTAGTAGCTATAGTAACCTTGAAAATCTAACTAGGTAAATAACTTAACCTCTTTTCCTATAATAGTATAAGAATTAGAGGGCTAAGTAATAAACCTATAGAAACGCTAGGGTAGGGAGCGATATATATTATATATATAGTATTATATATATATAGCGCCCTATATCTTAAATACTAGCTTAGTAGGGCTATATAGAAACTATAGCTATACTAAGGTATCTTAGTACTAAGCGTTATTATATGAATACTATCTCTATATCTAATTATATATAACCTACCCTACCCTAATAGATTATAATATTCTTTATTACCCTATAGCGAGAAGTAGGTCTTAATAGGTTTACGGGTACCTATGTGAGCCAGTTTGATCCGGTCATTTACGCGTTTTTGGTCCCCCACGGCTGTGGCAATGCTGGCCAAATTGTCTACCGAGGCAGAAGTCAGTGCGTGCGCGCCCGTGAGAAAGGCGGGCAGGGAAATCACCACATACAACTCTCGTCGTACTTGTCATGAGCCTTGGTATGAGGGAGGGTATCATCGTCATCCGTGAGATGGAAGAGCTCATGATACAAGGTCGAGCCCCGGGTTATCATCCTGTCCAGTGCTTTGCTAGTATCTGCAGACCCAAAGTTGGAGGGATACAGGCTCCCCACAGTCTCGGACAGGGACGCCACCGAGTGGGCGCCTCCAAGACTGGAGTCAAAGGCGACCGGGCACAAGATTATGTGTCTGTTCGTCTTTCCCATGTTGTACTCGACCATTTCTTCTCCGTTCCAGTAGTCGAAAAGGCCGCTAGAGATGGGTTTTGCAGTTCTACCGACGCGCTGTCTCCCCTTCGAGTCGGGCGGCGGGCACATGCTGTCCGTTTCGCTGAAATCGTAGCCGTTGAAGGCGAGAACCCAGAACACGTTATTGCCCCCATTTCGCTGCTGAGAGAAGGCCCTGTCGACGGTCAAGTACTCGGTCGGCGCCCCGGTGGTGTCGTCACGAGCCATCACCATGTCTTTGCCGTTGATGTCCCGGGCAGCACGACCGGGTTCTTGCTTCTCAAAGGGGGCACCCGAGCAGAAGAGGCGCGGCTTTTCGGATGATTCGTCGTCTGATACCAGACCGCCTCCAGTCAGAAATTGAGTGACTCGATTGATGTGATCTTGCGATTGTATTGGTTAGCTATCTGACGGCCAAGGTAGGAGCGTTTGATTACCTTCGATGGCCTCCACGATCCGCTCGTTCACTAGATCATCGTCCTTCCACTTCCACTTCTTCGGGTCGAAGTCCCACTGTACTCCAAAAAACATCATGAAGTGAGCGATGTAGGAATTCAGATTTCCGTTGGTGGCGTGCCTGAAGGCGTGGTCGAGTCCAGTGTGAAGAGTGGCAGCCTCTTGCACCCAAGTATCGAGTGTGTCAATATGATTGTCACGGTGGCTGTACTCGTCAATGAGGAAGAGATCTCTGATGCCATCTACGCCACCGGGCCCGCTTGATCCGACGACTCGTATCCCTCTGCGATGCAGTTCGTGCGTGTCGTCCTCGGTGAAGTTGCCCAGGCACGGTAACACGAGACACCATGCCGTAACAAAGATGAAAGAAGGCAGGAGCATGTTGAGACGGTGCCAGGAAAGAACAGGTTGGCTGAAGGATGAGAACGCGGAGGGAATGAGCTGCGGCATGGATAAGTGTCATGTCCTCGCAATACACCCTAGGAGCGCATCCAAAGCGAGCGTTCTTAATAAATCATCCAGGTGCGGTATGAACGGTAGACACAGGATTGAACATATCATCATTAGAATGATAAACTATGCAGCGTTCTTGACGCTTGGGGCTTGTCATGTTCCTAGTAGGATTGACGCACAGGAAGCGGACATGGCCGAGAGAAGAGCTAGCGCCAACAGACGGCCACGGGGGCGTCCGAGTCTCCATCGGCATGGATGGCATGGCATACGAAGATTCCATGTCATTCATAAGTTCGAGCCCAGTCAGACTGGAGGGTATAATCCTGCAAGTCCACTCAGAGCCCAGTGGCCTTTATCCCGTGGCCGAGCCATCCAGTCCGGCCTCACCATACCTCACAGACTCGGGACGCCGACCATCACAATCACAGATCATGAGGCTCCTTCACCTACCACTGCCATCGCTGCTCTGTGTCAGCCTAACAAAGGCCTACCTGGTCGCCCCGCCAGGGACACCCGCCCCAGGAGCAACTCAGCGGTGCAGCGGCTGGGTCCAGTCGTCGTACGCGCTGTCTTGCGACATCATCGTGAGAGTGATTGGCATGACTCTGCCGCAATTTCAGGAGTGGGTGAGTACTGCAAAAGAAGCCACGCAAATCCTCTTTGACTTGTTTGCGACAAGACTGACGTGAAGCAAATAGAACCCAGCCACCAGCATGATGGGCCCCGGGTGCAACATGATCAACGGGCTCGACTACTGCATCGAGGTTGACTTCATTCAGTACACCGCCACCATGACCACGGCGCAATCCACGACCAGCTCGCCCGGCACGACCACAAAGGCCAGCACCACCAGCACCACCACACCCGGCAACGGCATTGCCACGCCCACGCATGGTAGCAAATTGCAGCCGCTTCTACTTTGTAAAGGACGGCGATATCTGCGTTAACATCGCTGCCTCCCAAAGCGTCTCCCTCACCAACCTGTACGCCTGGAACCCGGCCATCGGTACTTCTTGCGGGGGCCTGTGGGCGAATGTCTACATCTGCGTGGGCACTGGGACGGCGGCGCCAACGACCACGGCGCCAGGCAACGGCGTGGCGACGCCCACACCAATCCAGGCAGGGATGACGACCAGGTGCAAGACTTTCCATCAAGTTGTTGCAGGCGAAGTGTGCTTTGGTGTCGTAAGACCAGCGGGCATCTCCATCGCAAACTTCTTCGCGTGGAACCCCGCAGTCGGCACCGACTGCGGGGCACTATTGCCGGGATACTATGTTTGTGTTGCTCTGCTGTAGCGGCTACCGTACTCGTACCTTACCTAGGTACCTTAGTTAGTAGGTGATTCTGAACAGGTTAGGAAGTACAACCTCACAGCGGTACCTAATTTCAAACTTGAACCTCATCACTCATGCTCCATAATAACCGCCCGAATGGTGAAGTACGGTCCTCTATCCCTTTGACGCCGAAATTTGGCCTCAGTACTTCACATGATCGACAGCCAAGCGGCAGAATATAGATTTCGCCAATTGAATGAAAAGATAGAACGAGCAGTACATCTATATGCCTGTACGTTACTTATCATAGGGAGGTCTACGCGCTATAATCATGTACCGAACGAGTACCTATCAAGATCCACAATATACATATTCAGGCAGGCGGTGATCAGTCTATGTACTGAGGCCAAATTCCGGCGTCAAAGGGATAGTCGAACCTGGGCAACGTCTCTGGTCGTCGTTGCTTCCCATCCGTATGTCCATGGCGCTAGACCCGGGACGACCCGGACATGACATCAGGTGTGTTCCGGAACAGGGTCTAGAGCCTTGCCCATCACCCAGCTGCGTCGGCCCACATAGTTGCAGGGATGTGTTCAGGGGTATCTTTTTGAACAAGGGCCCGGCCCTTGTCAGTTCAAGGCGGTCCAACAACTAACTTGCACCCCTGGAGCTCGAGATCGCACGTCCAATCCAAGCCGTACGTTGGTTCTTGTTAACTCTGGCCGGCCGCAAGTCTAGAACCTTTGCTGTAGGTGGCGCCTTGGTGAGTTCCAGTTGAATCAAAGGTGCACTTCCGGCTCAACTCCCAACCACTAACACCACCAACACCACCACCACCCTTGCCTCACCGCAAACCGAGGACCTTTCCAGTACCGTCTCCTACCCGCCCCTGACTCTAGCAGCCTCCTCCAGCCCAGCCGTTACCCGGAGATACACGCTCCGCGGCACCGTAGAACAAAAGTGCGCTGGCCCGGGCCACTCCGAATGGGGAAGCCCGATATCCGCGCCACCTTCCAGCAACGCGTCGACCACGTCCCGGTGTTCAAGTTGCATCGCCAACTGCACGACCCGCCCACACACAAAGCCAGCATTCCACGAGCCCCTGGCTTCCGCCGCCTCCTGCCAGGAGTCGTGCCACTCCGGCGCTAGCCAGGTCATGGAGTGATATGCAGTGTTGGGGTCCGCGCCATGGCTCAGCAGCAGGCGAACCATGGCGGCGTCGCCGTGCCTCGCTGCGCGGATGACGGGAGGAAGATAGAAGCCCCAAATCATGGAGGGCTCGGTGCCGCAGAAGCCCGTCTCATGGTGGGATGTCCGTGGGGACGGCAGGGGGTGGTCTGCCGCATCAAAGTCGCAGGGGACGCCGTGGGAAAGAAGGCACGTGACGGTGGGTATGTCCCTTTGCTCGACGGCCAGGCAGAGCGTGCGTAGCGCGAGAATGCGGCTCGTTTTAGGGGCAAGAATGTCCACGAGCTGCGTCCTCCGCTCTCTGGCTGCCCGTGTGAGCGCAGGGCCGTACCTCTCGTCGAAGGTAAAATTAGAATCCGCACCCCAGCCGAGGAGGAGGAGGACCAGGTCCGCACGCCCAAGCTCCACCGTCCATTCAAGCGCTGTGATCGGGACCTCGCACGACAGTGTCATGGGCGCAATCGTGTCGATGGGCGTCATGTTGACGAGGAGGATGGGAGACATGAGGACGGTTGCTAGTACGTCGCTGGCGCAGCCGTCGAGAATGTGGGCGACTTTCTCCGTGCTTTGCTTCGTCTGTAACGCCGCCTTAAGCCGTGCCATGATTGCCTCGGGCTCGCCGCCCTCACGTCCAGGGTCTGCCTGAAGAGCGTTTGCAGCAGCCTGGTCTGGGCTCAGATGCACCCGCTCGGAGAGAGCTGGGTTGAAAATATCAGACGAGCTTCGCAGCCGTCCTATAGTCTGTTCGGGTTTGCCGCCGTTGGCCAGTTGACCATAGGGGTACTCCTCATACACATACCCCCCGGACTCGCGAGGTTTTCGAGGTGGTTTGATGGTGACATTGTTAAGTGAGTTTTTGAAGATGTTGTCGGCATTGTGTGGTTGAGAGGGGGTTAATTCAGAGCGTCCGGCGCTGGGATGTTGCCAATCGAGACCCACGAAGAAGTCGTGTTTCTTGATCTCTGATACGCCACATACTCCTCCCAAGCGTTGAGCTGGATTCCTGTCTAGCAGGCGTCGTAGGATATCTGCCGTAGCGCCCTGGACATATGTGGGCACGTCTAATTCCTCCGCGAGGGTCTTGCGATCTCTCTCGGCGTGAACTTCGTGATAGAAAGGGGGTAACCCCGTCAAAATCTCGTAGAGAAGGGCTCCCATCATCCACCAGTCCGTGAGTTGAGACGGTTCTTCACCCCTCAGAACCTCGGGAGCGGTGTATACCGTTTGGCTGAAACTCTGGTCGGTCGTGAACAGTCTCGGGGTGATGATGCGGATGTCACCAAACACATCCACGAGGACATTTTCAGAGCTAAGCAAGCCGACTACACCCAGGTCGTGCAGGCTTTCCAGTGCACATACAAGCTGTGCGGCGTACAGTTGAGCCTTTCCGTTGGTTACTCGGCGGCACTTCTGGACGAGGCCGAGGAGATGCTTGTTGCTTGAGATCGGGCTTAAGAAATGGAGGTGACCTGGGGATTTGTACGAAAACCGGACTGGCAGGATCCAAGGGCTTTCATGAGAGAATGTGGCCGATCCCTTCCGGTAGTCTTCTGCAGATATGGTCGTCATGAGGTAGAAAGTATCAGTGTCCTTCGCTTCGATGAGCTGAAGGTCACCAAGATCACGACGTGGCCCTCTACGCCATTTGCTCAGCATCCTGTCTTCCAACATGATAGGGAGATGGGCTCGTGAGAATGTGACGGTTATGTCGATCTCGACCGCAGCATCCTTGAAGAAACAGGACTCCATTCTCATCGTACGGGGTTCCGCAAATGGCCCTAAGCTTATTGAGCCGAGATCCAGTACCGCATCGCCCCCCCTCGGCGACTGATTCGAGTCCAAGTGGCGCTCAAAAAGCAGGTGCAGGATGGCCTCGCAGGGTTGCGCCATAAGAGACAGGTCGATCCGAAGAGTTGTTGCGTGACCACGCGCGACAGACCCCGATATCAGCCATTTGCTGAGGTCGAGCTCTATGAGCGAACTGCCGTGTTCTAATATGGCTCGAGGCTTCCATTGCCCCGGAACATTTGATCTGATCTTCCAAAGTTTCACGCATAAAATACCATATTCGACTTGGTCGGCGGATACGGTCAGGGGTTGGGCAGGATCATTAGCATCGGCTGCATGCGCGGATGTCGGGTTATCTGGCCATTGACAGGGAACAGGCGCGTTGCGCTCCCTCTCTTCTACCCTCCTGCTGACTGTTGCGTGATCGTTTACAGCGAATAAGTCAGCAAGCCCTGAAATGTTCAGTCAGTGCTTCCGCATGGCTCTCAGGGCGTCGCCGGTGGGCAACAGCACTCACTCACCTTCAAGTATCGATGGCCTCGAGACTACAGACATGGTGAGCGAATGCTTCGAGTTTGACCTTTTGAAGATCTCAAGTTTCCACTCTGGTTGACAATTCACAGTCCATATGTCAGGTGGGAATCAGGGAGAGAGGAAGTTTAATGACGCGACAAATTGCGGGGTTTATAAAGCGAGGAGGTGGCATGAGAGTTGACATAATCTGGTCTTCAGAATATCACTTTATCATGACCGTCGTCCTTCATCCCTCCATCATAAATGGCATGTAGTGATGTGAGGATGTAGATGGCGACCAGGTGGACATGGCGATCTAGACCTGATGGCGATTTAGCTGAGATAGCAGCCAGCAGACCAGGAGATCTGGGGGGCTTAAGCGACATGACTAGCTTTATTTGCTTCCGCCAAATGTGAAATAGGAGATCACATAGTCTATGGCGCAGAACTCGACTGTGAAGATATATAGTGGTCGCCAAAGGTGGATTGTATTTTGTTGGTGGTATTCACTTGGGGCTTCCAGTGGCATTCACCTGTGGCCAGGTGGCCTATGCCCTAGCACCTCCCATGGCTTAGTTCCAGGCACCCTCCTGCCCTAGAGAATAGCTTCCTAATATATACCTTTCTTCTAGGACCCTTAACCTCTAATAGGTTATATGCCCTTTTTATATACTATATAGTATCATTAATATTACGATTTTTATACTATTATTATAGGAGTTATAAGGGTTAGAGTCTTATAACTACTCTAGTAGCTTAAATAAAAGCTAAACTATAACGATATATATATTATAAATTAGAGATAAATCATAGCTATAGAATAGTATAATTTTTATAATATTCTATAAAGCCGTTATATAATAATAAGCGTTTAAGTTCTCTTATACCCTATTAGCTAGAGTTTAAAATCCGACTCTACTTCCCCCATAGGTCTAGAGGTAGTCTAAGCGCTTTATCTATATATAGCTACTAAGGGTCAATCTATTATATATAGAGGGTACCCCTTAGACCTATTTTTTAGGTTTTTAGATCTTAATAATTATCTAATTCTAATTATATTTATAGATTCCCCTTATATAGTAATTCCTATCTAATTTAAATATTCTTAATTATTATAAATAAATACTTTCTAAGATATATTTTATTAATATATATTATAATCGATATAGGAGGTATTAGGCAACGGCTAAGAATATAGCTTAGTTATAGAATAAAGAGATAATAATAGATAGGAGGAAGGGAGAGATAAAAGTAGTTATATCTCTAGAAGGAGACGTCGAGTTGAGAAATAAACTAAAGATTCTTTTAGCCCTTAATAAGAGCTATAAAATAGTATATTTTTCGTTTAAATTAAAGGTAAGTAGGTAAAAGGGTAATTAAGAAGAAGGTTATAATTAATTAAGTAAAATACTTAGATAGATCTTAATAAGAATAAAGTATATCTTAGAAGGTATCTATTTATAATAATTAAGAATATATAAATTAGATAGGAATTATTATATAAGGGGAGCTTATAAGTATAATTAGAATTAGATAATTCTTAAAATCTAAAAACCTAAAAAATAAATCTAAGGGGTACCCTCTATATATAATAGACTAACCCTTAGTAGCTATATATAGATAAGGCGCTTAGATTACTTCTAGACCTATAGGGGAAGTAGAGTTAGATTTAAGCTCTAGCTAATAGGGTATAAGAGAACTTAAACGCTTATTACTATATAATAGCTTTATAGAATATTATAAAAATTATACTATTCTATAGCTATAATCTTTCTCTATTTTGTAATATATATATTATTATAATTTAGCTTTTATTTAAGCTATTAGAGTAATTATAAGACTCTAACCCTTATAACTTATATACCCCCCTATAAAGTAGTATATATATAGGTATATAGATATAATAGTTTATATATTTAGAGGATAAAAAAATAAAACCTTATAGTATTATTATATATAGGGAAAAAATTAAAACCCTATAATATAGAAAATAAATAAAAACTATATATTATATTATTATAGGAAAATCCAAAGATAAAAAACCTATCTTATTATAATAGGAAAATCCAAAGATAAAAAACCTATTTAATACCTAATTTTAAGTACTTTACTATATTTAGGCTACTTATAATCTATAAGTATAGTATTTAGACTCCTTATTTATATATATCTATATAGGGTATTATAAGTTATCTTATTTAAGCCCTTAATAAGTATATCTACTATATTATACTAGGTATATATATAAAAAAGCTATATTTTCTTATCTTTTAATAGATTTCGGTAATAATAGAATTACTTATCTATATACTTAACCCTTTTATAGAATTTAGGATTTTCGGTTATTTTCTTAGCTCCTTTATTATTTATTAATAAAGTAGGTATTTTAGGTTTATTTAAACCTAGGCCTTTAGATATTTCTAAAAAAATAGAAGAAATATATATAGCTTCTTTAGAGGCTTTATATAAAGCTATATATTTAGCTTTATAAGTAAATAAAGCTATTACCTTTTATTTAGCTAAAACCTAGCTTATAAGGTTATTAATTCCTAAATAGAATATATATCTAGAAATAGAAGTTCTATCTTCTAATATATCGCTCTAGCTAGAATTACTATACCCTATTATATTAAGGGATTTATTATAAATATATATAAGACCTATATCCGGATATTTATTTAAATAAGCCTATATTCTATTTAAAATAATAAAATACTCTTTAGAGGGGTTATTTATATATCTAGAATATCTATTTACTAAATAAGTAATATCTAGTCTATTATATAAGGCTAAATATAATAAAGAGCCTATTTCCTATTAATATTAGAGAATTTCTAAATTTATAGCTTATAAGGAATTTAATATTAAAGCTATTTTTAATATATTAAGCATATCTATTACTTTTAAATTCAATTTATTATATTTTATAAGAATTTTCTCGTAATATACCTTTTAAGATATATATAGAAGCTTTTCTTCTTTATTTATAGTTATTTTATTACCTAAAAAGGTATTAATAAGTCCTAAATCTTTAGGATTTAATATAGTTTAAAGTTTAGCTTATATAGTAGATATTATTTTAGCTATTTTAGCTATTATAATTATATCGTTAATATAATAGAGTAGTATAGCCTTTAAAGGTAATATAAATACCCCTAAATTAGATTCTAATATATTAAAACCTAAGCTATTTAAAGCTTTAAGTAGATATTCGTACTAGAGCCTAGGGGACTATTTTAACCTATATAAGGCTTTATTTAGCTTATATATATAGTTTTCTCATATAGAGAAACTAGTAGGTTAAATAACGTATATATCCTTATCTATATCTACGTAAATAAACGTATTATTAATATCTAATTATTTAAAATCCTAGCCTAGATTTAGACTTAATATAAAAGCTAATCTATAGCTTTTAAGCCTATAGGTAATATTAAAGGTCTCTAAGTAATCTATATTAATAATTTAGTTAAATCCCTAAACTACTTATCTAGCTTTATATTTTATTAGATTTTTATTTATATTATATTTTATTTTATAAACCTATCTACCCCTTAGTATATTAGCTTCTTTAAATAGGGTATTTTTATTAATTAAAGACTAAGTATTTTAATCTATTAATTACTAAAATTCTAAATTTATAGCTTTATTCTAGTTATCTTTATTAAGGCTATTAATAGCTTAGCTATAAGTAGTAGGTTCCTTTATATTATTTATAGTAAGGATATAGTTCTAGCCTAGGAAGTTGAAGGAGCTCCTTAATAGTATATCCGATATATTTAATGAATCGGCCGAAAACTACATTGCTTCTCTATTGCCACCGAAAAGACAATCAATATAACCTATAGCTCATCGGAGCACGACTTCGTCACGGCCTGAGCCTCGCCACACGAAAGCAATAGGGACAGACAAACATCTTGAGCAAGGTTGGAAGGTGGCAGATGTGGCTGGACGTGGCGGGCATGGCAGCCGTGGCTGACCAAGTTCTGGAAGGGCGGTTGGTTTCGGTTGAATGTTAATCCGGAACTGAGTGTGACCATGCAGTTCCAATGCCGGATAGTCCCGACGCGTCATCGAATTCGGCCCGCATCTCGTTTATCGATCTCTTTCTCCGTCGTGCGCATATTTTGTCGGATTATGATGGCGTACACGAAAAGTGTAGACGAGCTCCAAGAACTCCTGCGACAAGCGGAGCAGCGCGCCGCAGACGCAGAGCGAGATCGACAACAGGAACGACAACGAGCCGAGAGAGAGCAACAACGTGCCGAGAGAGAGCAACAACGTGCCGAGAGAGAGCAACAACGCGCCGAGAAAGAACAACAGCGCGCCGAGGATGCCGAGGAACAAACTAGACCCACGACGTTCATCGAGTACATCGTCGCCTGCCACATCCATGTCTTCCTCAAACTTGTCGTCGAAACAGACAAAAAACTGACATCAAAGGGCTCTATTACCAACCCCCGCAACAAGTGGTGTCCAACGCATCTTCGACCATGGCCTGACTTTTTGGAACAGCAGAGAGTCATCTTCGGTACGCTCCACGATAGCTTTCCTACCAACAGTCGCCTATTCGAAAGCCGCGGTTTTCTAGCCGGCTTGGGTTACCGGATCTCTCAGCGACCGATAGCAAACGAGAAGACGCTCGAATACTTTCTACACAACAGTGTAGAAGACCCAGTCAGAACAATATCAGAGCAACTCAAGCAGGTGGAGAGTGTCAGACGCGCATTTGACATGGGCAGAGGAATTGTCTTCGAGAACCATCCCCACGCCATCAGTGATGTCGCTCAAGAGGTGGCCGACCGTCAAACCCCCTCGACACCACAGACACCTGACCACAGACATGACCTCAATCAGCTGCGTCCTGATCAGATCTGCGTCTACCGATCCAACGACGGACCCTTGGAAAGTCGTACCATGGTCTTCGTTTCCGAGTACAAGCCACCCCACAAGCTAACCACACCACACCTACGTCTCGGTCTGCGGGCCATGAACATTCCGAATGACGTCGTCAATCGCAAAACTATTCCAACTTCCGCCGC